CTACCCTGCGTGAAGGGCGCTTCGTAAATACAAGTTGTTGTATAACCTAAGTCTGTGTTGCATTAGCTGTAATTACAGCTGCATCAAAAGCATCAGTATGTAAAAATCCATAACTGTTTAAATTCTTCATGAGTTTCTACCATTTAGAGACCTAATAAATACTGAGAGATATCATTCCATGATAAAAGATTATATTTTAATCCTCCTCTATTGCACATAAACTGCAGGATGTTACATAATAACATGATGGAAGTTGGCAAGGATATAAACCCTAACATTTTGTCGTAGCCACTTACAGTGTGTCAAGAGAACAGTTAACCAATAAACATTTGATACTGACACAGCAATCTACTCATACCTGCATGGATGTGGAAGGGTAAAAGAGGAATGGGCATGGAATCATGATGAACACTACAAGGAAAGTAGTCAGAACAAAACAATAGGAGAACTCTCATCTCTACAAAATAGCTGCTTTACTCAGATTAATGGCTAACATCAATTAGGTGTAATTCTATACCTGAGTATTTTATATCTGCACACATTATACAATATAATGCAGTATGCGCTAGATCATTTTTCGGACATTGAAATTTAATTCATAACACGCATTTTGTTGTGAACACAATGTATATTTATACATTGTGTTCACCACAAAATGATTGTTATGAATTAAATCAGTTGTTTAGTAGGTTATCATAATTGTGTATACTACAGACATTTGTAAGAGCACAGACCTACCCTCAAGTCATAGTATGAGCAACAAATAAAATATTACTCGATTTCCACAGATAATATAATTTTTTATAACTGTTCTGGAAAGAACGAACTACTCCAGTAGTTGCAAAAATTAAGTTTTCAAATTAATCCATCTACAGCATAAATTAACCAGATCTTAATTCTTTGAGTGTTCAATGTAGCTGTTGGACATGCAGGTATTCCTGTGATTATATTAATTATTCTGTAACTCCAGACAAATGTTGAGACAGGAATTATGCATATCATTTTACAATGCTTGAGGGATTCATTATCCATTAATGTAATTAAAATCTCAGTTCTGAACTCACCATAATTTAGTCTATAATTCCAAGTAGTGAAACCTAATTTTAAATTATCTGATTTGGGAACTTTAGTCCGCAGAGAACAATCAGAGAAAAGAAATTGGAGAAAGTGGGAAGTATCTGCATTCTGAACCTCAGAAGTATTTTTGTGCTAGGAATTAGCATCCTCACTCTGCCAAATGGTGCATTAATTAACACATATGCATGACCAGTTTACAAATCAGTTAAAGAACCATACCAAAGCTTTAGTTGCAGAATCATTTTAAGCATAATTTTCATATTTGCAATTTTATTGTAACGTGTCTGATAAGAAATGCCTTATTAAACATCAAACAGCCATGGTCAGAAATATATTTCCTTGTACAGAGATTAAACTAACATTATTTTTAAATTGCTCATCAGTATGTGGACAGTGTTTTTTTGGCAATTGAGCTATAGATTTGGAGATTTCAGGCCAGAAACATCAAAACTAAGTAAAGAAACACAGTCAATCATCATAAGAGGAACTGATGAATCGATCAAGTCAGGCACCATAGCCTAAGAGCCCAAAGGATGAGTTATCTAACCTGATATAAAAAGTGACTTACTTTCAGTAATTTGAAAAATGTTTTATTTCCCTTCCCCTGAATTATGTTGAACATACAATAATCACCTTTAAAATAGTTAAAGTCTAAGAATAGAATTATAAACTATATTGATAACTGCAAACACAGATGATTGTTGGTCCGTTAAATACATTAGAGTGCTAGTAACTGGCTCCGTTAGTAGCAGTCTCATCTATGAGTCAGCCAGTTGCAAAGGCCTGAAGTGAAGGTGCTATATCAGCGCTGGTCCAAACCATGGGCCACGGATCCATCAAGAGGCGGACATCTGCATGAGTCTAGGTAGGTTCGTGTTCAATCGATAGTGTGCTTTCAGTTTTATCCTGATTAAATATTTATGGCATAAATCAAGAAATATTCAATCAAGAAAATGTGTTTTGTTGGCCACATAAAGATTGGCCACCACAACTTGTTGTTGTATATTTAAGCCACAGGCTGGGCATTTGAGCTCACAGTGAATCTGACACGGCACTGGGGATGCGCTGCAGTGTTGGAGGGCCATCTTTCAGATGAGTCTAAAACCGAAATCCCATCCGCCTACCAATGGACATTAAAGATTCCATGGTCCAATTTAAGAGAAAGGAGCTTTACACAGTATCTACCCAACAATCCTCAAGATAAGATTGATCATTTACTTCCTGGATGTTTGTGGGACATTGCTGTGCACAAATAGGCCACCGTGTTCACTACATTCAATACACAGTCACTTCACTGTACTGTAAAATCCTGTGAAGCACTTTAAGATTCGACTTTAGTTTTTTATAAATCGAAAATTTAAGTTTTTAAAATGTTTATATTGGCTGCAGCTATACCACAGCCATTGCAAAGTCCCAGCGTGAGCCGAGTTCCATCAAGTATATGATTGTCTAAACCTGTCCCAGATTTGGGAGACTGCAAATGTACTTCTGGTTTGGTGCCGGTATTATCATTAAAATCAGTTAAATTAATCTCATCAAACTCTGTTTAATAAATGGCGCTCAGTACCTCAGATTATGAAGTTATAATAACTAAACAAAATTATTCTGTGAGACTTCACTCAGTTTCCATATTCAAATTAGCCAACTGACCACAAAAGGTCCCATCTGTTGCTGTGACTACTTCAATCATCCAGAATATCATAGTTGCTGTTCAATTGGCATTGATTTTGGAAAGTACGATATCTAAAAGGCATCAGACACAGCCATCCATAATCTTTGCATGAAAAAATGTGATTTTTAGAAAAATATTTCCATTGATATAGTATCACAATGATTAAGTGATGTCTCAAAGGTGTTTCAACTGATTTGTTTGGGCTATAAACAATGCTCAATAAAATTCACTTATTCCTGTTGAAAACACATTTTCTAGTGTTATAAATAGAGAAAGTGTTACAAGGCCAGCAGTTTGATACAGCAAATAACTCTGAAGATAGCCCAGAACGCTCTCTTGGCTGTCTCTGGGAGTTATCTAGTCAGCCCCACTTTTGATTATATCTGTCTCATTGCATGACTGGCCAGGATAAACGTTCTATTTATTCACACAGTAGTGTGTATTGCAGACTTCAGTTTGCAGAAAAGATACAAGTGTACATTAATACACTGAAGAACTCTCAAAAGCATTTGGCACTTTGCTAACAGGGATAAACTTCAATACATACTGAATAATATTGGACTTGTTGAGCATTTGTTCTTCAAGATCTTCCTCCTGCTTCCATTTGTTTTCAAATAAATATGTTTGGGGGTCTGAACAACTAGTAGCCACGCAACTACTCTTTATACAATTCACCTGTAAACCTGGTATGCACCAGCTAAGCTTCAATAAGAAAAAAAGTCATGCATAATGATTCTCATTTACAACTATATTTTAGGGTTTTTGAGGTTAACACTTAACTGTGTAATTTATTAATTTGTTTTTATCAATTAGCTACCCAAGGAACTGGATAACTCTTTATAAGTTGATTAGTTTTAAACAAAAAATACTGATGTATAATAGTAGATATGTATATAATATAATGTACAAATGTATAATAGTACATGGTTATTGTTCAATACCGTTGACCACTCCATCCTCCTCCACTGCCTCTCCTCTCACCTCAACTTTCATGGTTCTGTCCTTGACTGGTTCAAATCCTACCTATCACACCATCTCCACAAAAGGTTTCTCCTCCAGCACCATCAGCACTCTGTCCTTGGCCCTCTCCTCTTCAATATCTATATGCTCCCACTTGGTGACATCATCCACAGACATGGGTCAACTTCCATATGTATGCGGATGACACCCAACTCTACCTCTCTGTCTCCACCCTCGACTCCAGGACCACTGCTGTCCTGACAGAATGTCTGTCAGACATCAAGTCCTGGATGAGAGCTAACTTTCTACTTTTGAACGTCAACAAGACCGAGGCCTTCCTGATTGGCTCCCGTCAGCGCCTCCACAACTCAGGCACTGACAGCATCACCATCCAAAGAGACACACTCCACCTTATTAAGCGAGTCTGGAACGTTGGCATCTTGTTTGATCCCAAACAAACTTTTCACCCCACATATGTGCCATGTCCCACTCTGCCTTCCCCCACCTTCGCCCAGCTCCGCCAGTCTCACATCGCAGGCCGCTGAAACCCTCATACATGCATTCATAACATCCAGGCTTGACTTTACAAACTCCCTTGTCAGCCTCCCCAACCCTTCCCTCCATAGTTTGCAGATCATCCAGAACTCAGCAGACCGTGTCCTCTCCCGCACCAGGCTCCATGATCCTATCACCTCCATCCTCGCCCTACTCCACTGGCTTCCCATCATAGAGGATACAGTTCAAGTTCCTGGTCCTCACTTTCAAAGCCCTCCACGGCCGTGCTCCCCCTACATCTGTGACCTCCTTAACCTCTACCAACCTGCCCGCTCACCTCCACTCAGCGGGCTCTGACCTGCTTCACATCCTCTGTCTTGCCTGTTCCACCATTGTTGGGCGAGCTTTCAGCCACTCTGCCCCCACCCTCTGGAACTCCATTCTGCCCAGTCCCTCTGTCTCATCCCTTGCCTCCTTCCAGACCCATCTCAAGACCCTCCTCTTCGACCGTGAGGATGGTCACCCACTATCCCCCCCTGTCCTCCACCCTCCCCGATCCCGACCCCCAGCTCGGCACCGAAACACTGATTGCGCAGCGCCTTGGGACTTCCTCCTGACGTGAAAGGCGGTATACAAATGTCATTTTGTTGTTGTTGTATTGTGGAGAGCGCTATATAAATTCAAGTTGTTGTTGTTGTTGTTGGACCAACGATTTAACAGTCCTATTTTCACATTCCATTTCTTCAAAAGTAGCTATTTCATTAGAAATCAATAAAGCACAGGAAGAGTTTGCATGAAAAATTAATTTATTAAAAATAATGTTCAAAATTATTCAAATTTAAGTCAATTACTTGTGATTATTTCTTTAATTAATAATAATCCCTCCAAAACAAAACAATAATAAATTGGTCATTTTCAATCCACGACTGTTTGTGGGACACTGCTGTGTGCAATTGGCTGCCACGTTTCACCCGCAAATATACGGTCAATTCATTTTACTGTATGTTCTATGAAGCCCTGTGAGACATCTGGAAGATGTGGAAAGCGCTAAAGCAAATACGAGGATTATTATTATTATTACAATTATGTTATTACCCACCTGAAAACTGTATTAGGAATATTATACCTGATTTATTAAACCAAGAATACTTTCTACTGAGTTTCATTAACAACACAAATTAGAGAATAAACATACAACTAAAAGAAAACTTTTACCCTATTTGCTTTCAATTGCTTACAAACACAATAGTTACACCCTGTTGACCTCGAGTACACACTGTTGTGTCCTGGTGAAATTTAGCCTAATTTAACCAGTAATCGCCAAGCTGAGCAAAAGTAGAAAAATCCTCTATAACTCAAGAGCACTGACTATCTGTGCGGTAGGGAGGGTGTTTTGTTCGATTAGCTAAATGGAATAATTTAAAATATTTAACAGCTGTTTCTTGTTTTTATCAGCACCAGTGAACAAACCAAAAGTGGCTGAATAAACTGCCTCTTGGGGTCACTAGCACAACAGAACCAATGGGTAACACAACATAAACAGTAACTCCATGGTGCATATCTTCTCTTTAGCTTGCTTAGAAATTCTAGTTTATTTCAAAATAAGTTGAATAGAGAGCTCCCTCCAATATAGTAAATAGTGGGATTACCTACCACATTCATATCAACAAAACAAATCAAACTTTCAATATAATTTACATTTATATAGAGCCTTTCATGGCAGGAGGACATCTCAAAGCACTTACATTGCTGACTGGGCACCCAAATGAGGGCTCAAAACATTTTAAAACAAAACATTGTGTAACCAAATGTTAGGGAATATACAAAATTATTTTGAACTATTCTCCCCTCATTGACTTTAAAATGGTTAAAAGCAATGTCTTATTTAAGACATCATACTGGACAACAAAGTGGAAGGAAGAGGAATATTTTTCTCTACTTTCAGAAAAATTATAGCTAGTCCTACAAAATAATTAGACCAAGCTTCTGGCTGAGTGGTGTAACATAATGAGAAAAATTCTTCTCATTCTTCCTACAGTTGCTTTCATCCAAAGAGGCAATAATTTCCAATGCAGAAAAACATGTGGATCAAAATAATGAGAACCTCAAAAGTAAATATAACTAACAGGTTCCTTATCAGAAACCTGGCCACAATAGAGTGACAAACAATACATCTCATTATAGTTTGTGGTGGGGAGGGGGGAAATCACACTGCAATGTTACATACTGAACATCTCCCACACAATTAAACCAAGCACAGGAGACTATGTCGGCAAGTCATCATCAAATTTAGCTTTAAAACAAGGTGTCGTTCGCTTCAACATTATTTTAGTTAGTTTCAAGAGAATGTTTTATCAACAATTATATTGTTATACGATTTGACAAGAATAACAATTTTGAAATTTATTGCTGAAAGCTTTTTGAGTAGTCCTGTGAACAGGATAGATGCACATGCAGAGATACTGCTTCAAGATATACTTCATTGTCGTCACAATATTCTCTCACAGCTTTGCATAATCTTTAAGGATCATTTCAAGTTTCTGACTCAGCATGATGTTTCCCTTCACCTTCAGTTTACCTGCAAAGAAAGCCTGCAAAAATGTAAATGATTATTGTTATCTTTCACAAAGGCATTTGAAAATGAGAATCATTTTGTTCTGAAAGAGAAATATTTACTACACACCCATGCACTGAAAGCCTGTTATAGAATATCATACATCCCTAAGAAAAATGCTTCTGAACATAATTCTTGCAGAAAAGAAATTCCTTTGGTATTAGGTAAATCAAGACTGAGAAGACCACACTTAATTTAAAATGAATTGTGTTCGAAAAAAGCAGAATTTAAGACCTTGATTCAATAGTGCAAATGGAAAAAAACATCTTACCCTAACCCCCAAATTAATTTGAAAGGTTCAAACAATTAGTATTGAATTATCTATCAGGTAATTATCTATCTATCAGGTAATCTGATACATATTACAAATCACATGGGTACCACTCACTGCAGAATGATTTAATACTTTCAGTGATATTTCCCCTATATTGCCAAATCAGGCTCTGTGAGTATCTGATTTCAGTGCAATCAAAACTGCTAAAATCCTGGACCAACAGGATTTTTTTCATTTTTTAAAAAAAATCTGAAGGCTACAACATTCTGTGGAAGAATAGTTTAGTTAGTTGACAGTAATAAATTTATTGGAATACAATTTCAAATACTTCCAATGATATCCACACATTTGTTTTCAGATATCAGACACATAAAACCAATGAAATGTGCCTCTTGTCTTTTGTAAATTTTCCCTAAAGATTTTTTTATTGAAAAACATTTCTGATATGCAACAGAAAGTTAGATTCATTAAATAAATCTAATGAGAAATTGAATGGGTAGGCTAATGGGATCAATGGTCTCCTCAATAAAACTGCTATTATATTAATACTATATTAGATATATATTGTCTTGATTATACAAATCAGTATTTATAATGTAGAGGTTATGTGATAACAAGAATAGTGAAAAACAGCAGAATGCCAGGAGCTCAGTTTTAATCCATCCAAATCTGTCATTGATAGATTCTATTAACAGTAAAAGAAGCTCTGCAGTTCAATGGAGATGGGATTTCAATCAAGCATGTTTCATTCAATATTTACACGGATTATCTGCACTCAATGAAATAATCTATGCGCACTAATAATTTTATTGTGTTTTCATTTCACGATTAGGTGTTATTTCAACAATGCAGGAATAGAATTTGTCCAATTCTAAGATTAAGAAATAAGAAACTTTCTATTAATAAAATTTCCAGACATAAGAACAACTTTCATTTAGTTGGCTTCCTTCACGTAGGAACTTGTCTTGGAATGCTTCTCAGGGACAATTCAGAAACCAAGCAGGAGAGAAGGTGGGAGTTAATTGTAGGTGCAGTTGAAGAGGTAGGTTTTTAAGGTGGGATCTAAAGACAGAGAAGAGGCGAGACGGAGGGATAGAAAGAGGGAGTTCCAGAGAGTGAGGCATAGTTGCTAAACTTATATTTGTAAGACTGTTACCTTTTGAGGATTGAGATTTCCTAATGCCACTTTCATGAAATCTTCATCTGACACTGTAAAGACTGTGTCAGCTTGATTCCTTGCTTCTTCTTTATACAACTCACCAGATCCATTCTTCAGGTCAATAGCTACAAAATATAAGACAACCATAAGAAACATGTTTCTCATTGTCTATTCACAATTCTACATTTAATATTTCAAATGAACCAGAAAATACAAATACACACTGCACTGCAATTCACTGTGAAAAGGTCAATCTGAGTCCCAAACATCAGAGGCTACTGAGACTGGTGAAAATTATCACATCCAATGCATTATGAAACATCGCAATTTTTACCATGTTCTGGAACATGCCCTTTGTTCCTTGATTGAAATCCCACATTAGAACAAGAGCACTGAAACAAAATGAGATTAAACAATAAAGTTTCTTAAATCATTGCAGGTTTACAATAACAACAAGATTATATTTTTATAGCTCTTTTCAAGTCGGGAGGACATCCCAAGGCGCTGGACAGAGTACAGCATTTCAGATCCAAGCTGCGGTCAGGGAGGGAGAAGGGAGGGGAGGGGAAGGGGGGTGACTGATGGCATGTTCGAAGAGGAGGGTTTTGTGACAGGACTTCAAGGAGGCTAAGGAGGAGCGAGGCGGAGTGATTGGGAGATGGAATTCCAGAGGTTGGGGGCAGAGTGGCTGAAGGCTCTCCTGCCAATGGTGGAGCGGGTGGGTCGGGAGACGTGGAGGAGGCAGGAGCCGGCTGAACGGAGGGAGGGGGTGGGGTGGTAGGAGGTTGCAGAGGTATATGGTGCGAGGCCATGGAGGGCTTTGTAGGTGAGGATCAGGATCTTGAAGTGGATTCTACGAAGGATAGGGAGCTAATGGAGTTGGGCGAGAATGGGGGAGATGGGGTCGCGGAGTTTGGTGCGCGAGAGGATTATCTGCAGCCTGTGGAGGGAGGAGTTGGGAAGGCCGACAAGCAGGGCATTTGCATAGTCGAGCCTGGAGGTGATGAAGGCATGAACAAGAGTTTCAGTGGCCTGAGGGGTGATGTAGTGGCGGAGTCGAGCGATATTATGGAGGTGAGGGAAGGCAGAGCAGGTCATGGCTTGGATGTGGGGAAGAAAAGACAGTTGAGGGTCGAACAAGGTACCTAGGTTCCTGACTGGCTGGTGAGTTGTAGTGTGCAACCATGGAGGTTAATGCTGCCAGAGCCTGAGGTGCTGAGGCGCTGGCGCGAGCCAATCAGGAGGGCTTCAGTCTTGTTCACATTCAACTGTAGGAAGTTTACCCTCATCCAAAACTTGATGTCCGACAGGCAGTCTGTCAGGACAGCAGTGGTCCTGGAGTTGAGGGTGGAGGCCGAAAGATAGAGTTGGGTGTCATCCACGTACATATGGAAGTTGACCCCATGTCTGCGGATGATGTCACCAAGGGGGAGCATGTAGATATTAAAGAGGTTTCGGATGATGGGTGGGTGAGAACAACAACAACAATAAGGTTACATTTGTATAACGCCTTTCATATTGGGAGGACGTCCCAAGACGCTGAAGGAAACTTTTCAGATAAAGACTGAACACCTTTCAAAGAATGAGGAAGGGACATTTAGCAAAATGCCTACAAGGCTTCAAGAAATCAGCTAAAGCTGGAGGATCCTTCAGACTGGCAACACTGAAGCTGCATTGATCCATCAGTGTCACTGTATTGTGATTCTGGAGAACAGCCTGATTTTGTTTACTGTCTTGGGAGCATTTATTTCTACAGTAACAAAGATAATCATGTCTGAATATACATCATCATTCAATGACAATGTGTACGACACAGCACAAAAGAGAATGCCCTGCTCTTTCTTATGTAATATATATCTATGGACTATTAACTATGGACTGTTAAATATAAAGTTAGTTATGACTAGGGATGAGAAACAAGAGATTTATGGAATTATCGAGATGATTAGAAGTTTATGTACGCCAAGTAACAAAGCTATTCAAGGATATTCAACTTCTTTGCCCGCGCTTTTAGTTATCTTTCCCCTCCTGCCCCCTCTCCACCCCAGACTCCCACCCCCAGCCCGGTTGCTAAGCCAGGAGAGTTGATTGCCTTGGGACATCCTCTTGAAGTGAAAGGCACTATATAAATGTAAATTTGTATTGTATACATCTTTTTGCGTCGAGCACCTATATATATGATCATTAGATAAAATGAAAAGCACTGGTGAGCATTTAAAATTGCTAAAAATTATTTCAGAAGTGGGGAACTTAAAATATTAAATATCGTTGACTATTTCTGTACTATAAAGGTGTCTTGCAAGCACTACGTAGGTTTTCTTTCTAAAAAAAACTTGTTATGATCAAACAAAGATCTTATGCGAATAATTGTAACATTTTTAAAAATTTGAATCCAGAAAGATTATCCTAATTATCAATTACCCCAATAAATACTGAAATTTCAAGAACATAATTTGTTTTAATGTAAAAAATGCCACCTTCTGGTCATTTTAAGTCTGAAATTGTATGCCAGTACTTAAAGAGTTAAACCAGCAAATTCTTTTGACTCAGCAGAGAAACCAAGGCACAGAAGCTTATGTAAGTTTGAATTTCGGATGTGGTTCTGTCTAACTAAATGCAGACTTAAATCATCCTGAAGCTGCCATTTTCACTGTCTCCTGTCTCAAGGGCATTAACTGCAGATGTCAGGGTTGCACTTGTCATATAGGACAATAATGAGCTGAAGGGCTCAAAATATTTCTATAACTGTCAATTTCTGCAGCTCGCCAATGCACAGCCCAGGAAAGAAGCAACAAATCTTAGATTAAAAGTAGAACAACATAACTCAACAGCAAGATTAGAGGGGGCAATGCCAGGTTCATCAACAAGAGCTTATGATGAAAGTAAACAACACTTTGATTATCCACCTTCGGAGTTAATAAAATCCAGCATGGACTGCAAAACATTAAACAAAATACATACCAAAAGAGTTTAGAGGCTTAATTGTATTACTGTTAGCCAAAAAAAATCTTTCAATACATCAAAAACTGTTTTGAGTCTAAGGAAGTCAGCAATTTGATTTTTGCCCTCAGCCATCATTAGTAATTGAGTAGTTTCAACATGATCACGAATTAAGTTTAATTAAGGCGTTAAAGTGAATGTAATTAAATTGGAGCATTAAGAATAAGAGAAAGGTTAATTTTAATCAAATGTTACCAACCTTTCTGAAATGGATGTTTGATTCATTTCCCTAATCCCAAACATTAAGGTATTTTTCTTTAACATACAAGTCACACCATTTACCATTGAAATACGAAATTTAATTCTGCCTAGTTTAATTAAATCTCTAACACAGCAATGAAAGTTGCATTTGCTCATTCTACTATATCAAACAAGTAAGAATTCACAAATTAGAAAGAATAACTGGCTGAGTTATTACAACTTGGGTTCGGACCTATGTAATCAAAATATACAATAATACACTGACATACAATAATGACATAACCTCCTGGCAGAGGTGCATAATAATATGCCTCTGGATCACCTTCATACCAGCTGTTTGGCCTTTCATCTTAGTGAACTAAAATAACAGCGCCAGTTAAATGTAACTTACCTCTCTGGCTGTCAAAGTGAAAAATCAAAGTGGAAACTTAGAACATCTACTTTTGATTTAGACACTGAAAGCATTCACTTTTCAAAACAAAATGAAAGAAAAAAACATTTATATTTCTTAAGTATTGTGCAACCCTTGCAGAAATGTTTCCAGTAGCCCTGTGACCAACTATAGAATAATCTAATTTAGGATATTATCAAAATAATAGTCAAAATACCTGACAGATATGCTCTTCAAAGGGGTATGGGTATGTCCTGATCATTTCCTTTAATGGTGTCACAAAATGTTATTTAAGAGATTTTGAATAATTTGCAACTAAAAATATAACAGCATATTTGTGTAGATTAAGTGAAGTACCTAATTTCTTACCTTTACTTTTTGGAATACATGAAAACAATCACAGACTAGATTGATGGAGCATCTCTGCCTAACTTTACCGGATGGACACATTCATCTCAGAACCGCAGCAACACATCTGTATTGTTTCATCTATATTGTTTTAGCTTCATGCAATGTTACCTAACTTGACAATTTGAAATTAAATCTACTCTGGACATAGCATAGCCTGGCAGTATACACTAATGCCAAATTGAATAAAAAGCTGTAAGTTTTTTTGTATATTTTTCAATCTAACAATTACCACTGAAATAAATGGGTTTGAATTTAAAGTAATTTAAGAAATATTAAAATGGAGTCTGTGAAATTTAATTTGCAGCAATCAATTTTTTTGCACATTGCTCATGCTCATATTACTTACTCCACTGGGCTGCAGTTTTTCCATCTTTAGTGATATCCCATTGGAAGACTGCATTCACCTTCTTCACCAGCTCCTTGCCAACATCTTTAATGCGTCTGCTGATTTCTCTAAACACAAGGTCACTTTGAAGCTCTCCTTCCTGCTACAAGGTCAGAAGAAATATGCTTGGCACAAAAATCATATCATACTACCTGCACTACCTCAATATCCTAGGCTTTGAAGTTGTTTATTTCCTTTAGAGATACTATTGCACTGTACTGAATTGTACTGTACTGTAAGAATTTGAACCAAAACAAATAGGGCAGCTATAAAGTTATTTCAGTGCCATGTGCTATTCTACTATTTGTACTTCAAAATATTCCAAAGTTTCACAGTACAACATATAGAAAACAAATCTGTATCTAATCTTGAATATTTAAAATGACATTAAGATTTTAGGGAAAAAATAATATAGTTCTCAAAGGGTGGTAACCCTTCAAAACTGTACAACATAATGTCTTTTTATTTTTGAACTGCAAGAAAAGTTGACAAACATCTCCAAAATCTTTCGGAGCAAAAAGCCACCCCAATCATATGAGAGGAATGTCCCATTACAATTGTGGCAACTTCAACTAAGTTTATTATGGGATTGTTTTATTATAAGTGAATATTGACGTGGCAATCAACAGGATTGCTTTTTTGACCATCACTATCTGACAACAGATCACCTGAAATTCTAGCAAATTCCAGCAATATGAAACATTTTCTGAAAGCAGTATATCTGACCAATAGATGGAAAAATCAATGAATACCAATCTTGTCGTTTTACATTACCAAATATATTCTTCAATGCCAAACTTCGAGAATTTGCTCCGAATATATACATGTATCATATGTATGGAGATTTAGTACTTGCAGTATTCCAAAGAATTTTCTGCTCATTTTGCCACTCATAAAATAAAATGTAATAACTGCACAACATAAATTGTCTTTCCTTTGAGCCAATACACTGCACTATGGTTAGAAAGTTGCAAAGTTCATACAAGTGCATTTTTAATGGATCAAATTCAAAAACCACAACTTTACTGCCCTGGCAGATACAGTTCACTCACATCAGAGTGAGCACAGCACACTTAGAACATATTTTCTGAATAAACTTTAAGGGACTTGATGATTTAGGTTTTGGAGGGATTTTCCCAGCATCAATTAAAAATTACAGCAACCTTTTTTTTGAAACTGTTGCAACATTTGCTATCTTTAACTTAAACAAATTCGTGGAGTCCTGTAGCTCAGTGGTTAGAGCACTCACTTTGCAAGTGAGAGACCTGAGTTCAATTCCAGGCAGAGGGCGAAACCTTGGGCAAGTTTCCTTACTCCACACAGAGCCTAATAATAATCCCTCCAAAAAAAAAACAATAATTAAATCGGTCATTTTCAATCTACGACTGTTTGTGGGACATTGCTGTGCGCAATTGGCTGCCGCGTTCGCCCACAAATATACAGTCAATTCACTTTACAGTGTGTTCTGTGAAGCGCTTTGGGACGTCCTCCCGACGTGAAAAGCGCTATATCAAATGCAAGGATTATTATTATTATTATTATTATATTTCCAAAGAATTCATATAGAGTGGTATGGGGAAATTTGGTCATGAGCATTACACAAAATTGTGCTACGTTCAATGTTTATATTAGAACCAAAGAACCTATTATTTTTCAGACAGGTTTCTGACAAATGTTGAACCACATGTCCATGCTAAAGAGTATCCAAACCATACAAAGTTGCACATATGCACCTACTCATAAAATATCCATTTCTGCAGTGGAATGTGTACAACAAATTACATTTGTACAGCAGCTTTCACATTGGGGGATGTCCTTTGGGAGTGCTCTCTCCCTGGAAAGATGCACTCTGGTTAACTAAGTCCAGAGAGTATTTGGCACATGCTGGCAAGAGCCAAAGCTTAGATACCCCAGAATGTGGGTTAGGGTACTGCTGAAGCTGAGCCAGTTAAAATCGCTCAGTTTGCTATTGAGAGCACTGTCTGGCAAGCTGAGTGGGAAAACTCCCTGCTCCCAGTGACTGGCTGCCTTCCGGGTTCTACGGATGAGCCAGACTAGCTGATTTTTTAAAAAAAAAAATTCCAAACATTAAATTTATTTATATAAAAAAAGAACATTTATTATTTCTAGAATTTTTAAAACTAAGTGCAGTCACAAGACAGCTAGTGCTCATTGTTGCTTGCGAATTCACTCAAGTTGTCATTTTTAGGCAGTTCTATTCAACAAGATGAGCATATATGATTTGGTTTTGTGCCTTAATTTGACAATGAAGATCACTGCCCATTGAAGTTTTTACTCTCTATATGAATTTGTGACACCCACCAAAGATTATTCAAAAAATAATTGTATAGAACAACGTCCTCAGTCATTTGTACTGTATCCTTCTAAAGTAGCCAATATTCTGGAAGTATACTATGAAATTGGTAAGACGTTTAATATACAACTTTGTAAAAAAAAGGCCACCTTACCTTGCCGACATTATTAGTTGTGGATTCATCTGCAGTGTTCTTTAGATCCACATATGCTCCTGCAAGGACAACATCACTTGTTTCTTTTACCTTTTGGAGAGGCAAAGGAGAATACTATTTAAAACGTAACATTGTTAACTATCCAAACAGTGTACATTATTCAGAGTGCACAGATCTGCAGTTGTACACACAGTAAAGAAAATGTACTTTTAATGCCTCATAATTGATGACAAATTAGCATTTTGTCCAAAAGGAACCAGGTTAGTCATTCCTCCTTTTGGGTTATACACTTTGAAATAATGGAACAGTTGATCTAACATTAAAACACTATCCATATAGGATATACAAGTGCCCATTTAGAGCAAAAATATTTCAGATTTCAAAACTTCTTCAACTACATTTTTCAGGAAGCAATGAATAAAGGAACGGTGACCTGCCAGGCCTGCCATGAATATTCCAAACTACTTATCAGATAACTCAAGGAATAAAGTATAGTTGGCTTCACAAGTGCATTATGATTCTTACTTCAAATCTGGTCATGACGTATTCTTTTTATACATTATAGAATTATTTATTTTTTAAATGAAGGATGAATGTGGCCAGTCAGTCCTTGGATTTTGTCAGCTGTATTTCTACTCTCTCTTAGACGTGTCTGGCCAGGTACCACATGTGGTGTTTTATTTAAAAGGCCAAGTGCAATCGAGGGACCCAGATTTGTCGTTGAACATGTTTAAATTTCTAGCTCCAGATGACCAACTTGGAGCGAACACAGTAAGATTAGAGGTTTACTGGTAACTATTCCCTACAGTTCATAATCTAGAACAGTTTCCCCTGCACTGCAATAGCAAAGAACTATCATAAAATGTTGACCTATGTAGCCACAATTTTAGTAGCAGCTTCTGGAAGTTAAACATGTACTCTTGGTTTCTATTGAGATCAAATAAAAGAAAATTACAAAAATATCCAAAACACAGAAATTGCTTTGTACATTTTACAAACAAACTGTTCTTTGTAAAGGAGCTGTGACTGTTAATATAAACTGCTTAAATCATTATCCATCATTTAGATTTGAACTGTGTAAATTTCTTTTGTGATATGCAGCACCAAACAGTGCATATGTGCTTATCTGGTGTATGATTATTTTGCAGCTGCTTGACCCCTTTTCTGTTCATTTGCAAATGTAGTTTTCTCCCTAACATATGATTAAGCTGGAAAACCTGCCTTTACAACTATTATTTAAGTAGATGCTTTTGAATACCTTAAGAATTTTTTTCACAGGAAAGGATTTGTATCTTTGAAATATAACTTACAGAGCTTTTCTGATTGGGTGCTCACTCATGGTATAGATATACCATAGAAGGTAAATTTGCATATAAATTAAAATAAAAGCGATGGGTGCTACAGTTGAAACATTGCAGTTCCTTCAGAAAATAGTACAGCATATTTATATGAGGGTAATCTTAGTTTGAGTTGAATACAGATGCTGTTTATCCTGTTGTTCATTATATATTAAATCTCTCCTATTTATTTAAAATAAAATAAGGAAACTGGAAAGCCTAATTTAACAGTTTGAATATTACAGCCATTAAGATGTCAAGAAGTATAAGTAGAAAGTGATGCATTTTCTTCCAGAGTAAATGTTTTGTGAAGACTTTCATTATGTTGTCAACTGAGTTTAACTTGCGAATATTTGTATTTGATAATTAAGTGCATACATGCGTGAACCTTCTTTACAATAAAACATATTAAGTATTGTAATGAAGTTACTAACACAAAATTTAATCTTCTGGTGAAAAAATGGAATGTGGAAATATTTAGCCTTTCGCCAGAAGAGGAACGTTCCTGACCTTCATTTGAATATGTATGCGATTTCCTTCTTTCCACATTTCGGTTTGCAGCATCTGTCCTGGAATCACTGGCTTTGCAAAGCGAGCCTTTATTAAAAGAAAATAGTTGATGTGAAAACATTTGCCCTGCTCTATAGCTGCTAAAGTTATACCATCTACATCAGCTGTTTCAAAATCATGATCAAATAGTGTCAATCAACTTCAGCATTCATTGTCCAATGACTGTTAGCTTCTATACATGTCTAACTACATAAGTAAAAAGGATTCAGAAGAAAAATGAAAATATGATGGGTATAGACTTACCAGTAAAACACTGACGTGTGCATAAATATGTTCATTCTTTAATCTGCAGTATCTGAGATCTGTTATTTAACTTAACAGCTTATTCAGTTAAGTTGATTTGAATTGCAATTTTTCTAGTTAAGTGCAATTTTACAAAAAATATTCTGAATCTTCTTTTCCATTGGAATAGATAGCCTTAATATGTTTTCACAAACCCTGTATATCAGATTCTGAACTACATATGTATTCTCCTTCACAATGGACCCTTGCAACTTTATGCAATGTACTTTTGTCGACGCAATATGAAGAGGAAATTCAATGTTGGAAATAAAGCATTTTCCTATTTTTGTACCACATCCAGCGCGACCAGGTATGGGTCAGAGATTGAGTGAAGCTTCCATCTAATCAATCCTAACAATGTCACAGAACCACAAACTCAGTAGAGCGCCTCCTTTGCACCAGTTTGACTAGCCACCCATGCCAGCTCTCAGAATGAAGCTGTCAATTAGTGCTGAATTATGGAAAGTGTTAAATAATAATTTAATAATAAATAAATAATCCTTGCATTTGATATAACAACTTTCAAGTTGGGGGGAAAACAGCTCAAAGAGATTCACAGGATTTACTGTGTGGTGTAGTAGCTGTATTTGGTGCTCCGTAATACAAAACCATAATATGTATCAAAGCCACTAATTCATTTTCATGCAGGAGTCTTCTTGATACATCGAGCTATCAATCTGGCTTGCATTGAAACCTAGAAAAGGTCTAGGTTCGAAACTAATCCACCTTTCTAACAAATGCTGCTACATTTTTAAAGATGTAATAATTAAAATTGCTTGAATGAGCCGAATGTAAAGACAATTCACTCCTCAGTGGATAAGTGAATTGAAAACCAAAGAAGAATAGTCTTGTACCTTCATAGCCTGGAATTTCGTCACATCATCATTTGCATACTGCTTCAAGACATGTCGAACAGCAAACCCAAAAGAACACAACCCATGCAGAATAGGCTGTTTGAAACCTTTACAGGAATAAAAAGAAACAAGTTATTTGAGATTGTTTTAAGTTCTCAAACTTTGCAAACATTTCGGAAATATAACTTAATATGTTAAAAAAAGGAAGATGGGCAGTTTCATTTCATTAGAATTCTGTGCAATGGTTTGTGTGGAAACATGAGATATTCAAAAAACAATCCCAACTATACATGCATGCATGCAATATTTTGGGAAAATCCATTCCTATCAAATCTATCAATGAGTTAATAATAATAATCCTTGCATTTGGTACAGCTCCTTATCTCGTCATTGAGACGTTTCAAAGCGCTTCACAGAATATATTGTAACTGTATTGACTGTGTATTTTGTGGGTGAAACGCTTGTTGAAATATACCAACTATCACCTCAGGGTGCCTTGGTATATTTCCAATAGCAACTGAATGTTCCAGAAGGTTTGATAGTTAAATGGTTAACAGTAGCTTTGCTGGACGGGCTGAGGTTAGCTTCTGATTACATTTCGTACTTTCCTGGGAAGATGTTCACTCGTCTGAGATATTGAGCAATTGGGTCCTTGAGCATAGATGTAAAAACAATGGACCACGGAAAGAAAAGGCTGCAGCCTCAGGCACTGCCTATCTCAAGGCTGAGAAACAAGCAGGCTGTGGAAGACTACCCAGACGTTTGTCAATATCTCTCTCTGTGTAAGGCAGCCTGCGAAGGTTTGGGGGGCTATCACTGTGACAAGAGGAGGTGGAGTTAGAAACACATAAAAGAAAGATATAACTTTGGAATAGTTGGAGTTGTGTAGAGGGTCAGCAAAGTTACTAGTGGAATCGATATTGATCCTACTGTATCTATGTATATGTACAGGGGTGAGGGAATTTACCTTCAGTAAGAAAAGGACCATTGAAAGTGAAAGAGGCAGAGAAGTAATAACAGCAGTAGTGGTTGGTCTGGGGAAACCCAGACGTCAGGTTAGGCAGTGCAAGTTAGGTGCTGGGCTAACAGCTGGTTGTGTTTGTTGAGTTTACCAGAGCCACTCTCTGTGATTTGGTGTTACCATTGTCAATTGAATATTGTTGTGTATGACTGGTTGGGTCTGAGGTTTACTGGACCCCAGTCCCTGTTTAGTGTAGGTATTAGGAGAGTCGGTTGTCTCTGAGGGGTATTTCCAGGGGATGATCTCTCGAGTGTATACCAAGGTGTGATACCAGATCTACTGTTTAGTCTGGAGTACGAAACAGTGCCTGGATAAGTGTTGTCCTCCCTGTATCGTCAGTACTACTGTTTGGTCTGGAGTACAGAATAGTGTCTGGATACGTGTTTGTTTCATACATCTGTTTCGTACTGTCATTGTGTGGTTGTACGTCATAGATAATTATAGATAGTGAGCTTTATTGTTTCTTTTATAAAAGAATTATTAACATCCTGCAGCCAATTGCGCTCAAGTTTCCCACAAACAGTCATGGATTGAGTGATCAATATTTTTTTGACTGATTATTACCTACAGAAAGCCAATCGACCAACAAATAGGTTTCCTACTTACTGCAAGGTAATCAGAGGCATGTGGAGTAAGGAAACTTTCCTAACATGTCGCCCCGCCAAGGATTCGAATCCAGGTCCTCTCGCTTTTCACATAGGGAGGATATACCAAGGTGCCAGATAGTCAGGGATGTGGACCCGAGCAGGGGGTTTGGGATCAGAGAGGGTGGAGGCCAGGGAGAGTAGGAGGATAGCCGAAGGCGAAGTCGAAAAGGAGGGTCTTGAGACGTGCCTTGAAGGAGGCAATGAAGGGAGTGAGGCGAAGGGAAAGTGGGATGGAGTACCAAAGGCTGGGGGCAGAGGATGAAGGCCTGACCCCAGATGGTTGGGCGGGCCAGGCGGGCGCGTGGAGCAGGCTGCAGCCTGCTGAGTGGAGGGAGAGGACAGGTTGTTATGGGGTTAGCAGGTCACAGAGGTAGGAAGGAGCAAGGCTGTGGAGGGCCTTGAAGGCGAAAACAAGGATTTTGAACTCTATCCTCTGGGGAATGGGGAACCAGTGGAACCGGGCGAGGGTGGGAGTGATAGGGTCACGGAGTCTGATGGGGGAGAGGACATGAGCTATAGAGTTCTGGATGATCTGTAGCTTGTGGAGAGAAGAGTTGGAAAGGCCGACAAGCAAGGAGTTGGCGTAGTCGAGCATAGATGTTATGAATGCTTGCATGACGGTTTTGGCGGCCTGAGGGGTGAAGCAGTGGTGGAGCTGGGTGATATTGTGGATGTGGGGGAAGGCAGAGCAGATCATGACAAGGATGTGGGGTAGAAAGGACAGTTGAGGGTCAAACAAGCCAAGGTTCTGGACTGGCTCAGTGAGAAGGAGTGTGCATCCATGGATGGTGATGCTGTCAGCGCCTGATGGGAGCCAATCAAAACACAACNTTTTTTTTACCTTCAGCAGTGGATCACACAGCTAGCAATTATTTTTAAAAAGCCACTGGAGCACTGTGGAATTATCTAACCAGGCTAGTCTATCAATCTTCAAGCTTATATGGCTGCAAAACTGGTATTTGGAGTCAGTTTCCAACCAATCAGAGAACACATTTTACAATGTGATTAACATATGCCATCCTGGTTTAGTTGGTAGCACGTTCAGTTCTGATTTATTGGTTGTGGGTTCAAATTGGGACTTGGAAATCATATAGTCTATGCTGTCAGCCCAATGCAGTGTTAGAGGTGTGCTGTATTGTCAAGGTGCTGTCCTTTAGTTGAGACATTAAACCAAAGTCCTATCTGCCTATCCAAGCGGATGCTAAAGAACCCATGGCACTTTTCTAAAAGAGAAGGGAGTTCTCATGTTGTCCTGGCCAACATTCCACCAAATAAAATTGGTCCTTTACTTCATGGCTGTTTGTAAGACATTGATGAATGCAAGTTGGTTGCTGCGTTCGCCCACAAAACACAATCATTGCATTTTACATTATATCCTGTGAAACGCTTTGAGATGTCTTGATGATGCAATAAGGCGCTACTTCAAATGAATAGATTAATTATAACTTCAAAATGGATAGTGTTACACCAGAAAGACTATAAGAAAACAAATACTATTTAAAAGGGTAAAAGTAACAGGAAAGTTAGAATAATTAATTGTGCTGCTTTTCCTTCATTTTTTTTAAAAAAAGCCATGTAACTAGCTAAAAATCGACTCAAAGTTTTTCAACTAATGCCTCACAAAGATTTAAAGATTATGTAGTCATGTTCTGGATGTATTTCATAAATAAGCTCTAATCTAACTCTTATGAAAGAGAATTTGCTATGTCCTGATCTATTCAGTGGGCAGATATGGCCAATTGGGTTAAATTCTTAGGTGGTACGTCTGTGTATTTTACTGAACGCAATGTACATCTATCACTTCCTGCCATACATTCATTCAACACAGGGACTACATTATTATCTCAAAATATGCTGGTCCAGCTCAAACGGTAACAAATTTGAGAACTTCTAAGCAGCAGCTGAAATGATTCACCTAGTCTGTAATTACACTGCAGCAGCATGGATTGACATTCTATCAAAACCAATAAATTGTTCAGGTGCAAATCATTTTCAGATTGTGTAGATCACACAACATTTACACTGTGGCGAGCATAAAATGAAAACATTGAAAACAGTTTAATTTAGCAAATAAGGGTCACCTCCTAGAGCAGCAAAGTTTGGGTCAATATGCAAAGGGTTCCAGTCTCCACTGAGTCGATACAGAGCAGCCTGTAACAGAGAAAACTATAATCTCAGAGCCAATGTACAGCAGAGAAAATTGCATGGGTAAATTAGTTAACCTCCAGCAGAACTCCAACACACGTTTTGCGATCTCCAAACTTTCTGGAATTAGTTAGGTAGAGTGCATCCCTCTGGGGAGAGATTTTGCACATTATTCCAGACAAGAGAACTTTCCATGCATAGATGGTATGCATACTTGGAACTCTCAGTTTGATTTGGATACTCTTAAGCACAGTGATAGTTTTATGCACGTGTGAAGATTTCCATTTGGCTATCAAAAACACTATAATCTATCAGAGCAGTGTACACGTTTTGCAAACCTCCAAAAGTGTGCACTCACTTGTTTATCATCATTCATTTTGAAAACAGGTATACAACTGATAACTAAATATGTTAACCTCAGGTATTAATCTTGAGCTACAAACATTGAGCCAGCAAAATAAAGTAACTGACTAACACAAATTAGTGTTTTTGTTAAACTTGCAAAAAAATTACCTTTATAGTAGATTTTTTAATTAGCTAGCGTAAGACAACTAAATTGGTTGCACTTTGCTTACTGACCCAATCTATTTCCAAACTGCAATCAGAGAGTTTGTCCCGGTGAAATAGATTACATTTTCATGTTATTTCTGATTGTCCCTTATTCATTGTTGCTGAAAGACTAGATTCTACCATAAACAATGTTAATATCTTGATTAAATACGATGCAAAATATTGCATGCTTTAGAATGATTTAAGCAAATTAAAGTAAAAAATAAAGCTTACTTCTCTTTAAAACAACAAATAGACAAAAAAGTACAATACCAGCCTTATCCACTTATGCCATAACTTAAATATTCCTTGATTTTAACAGACACCCCAATTTTCAGCACGACAATCTCCGACAATGAATGTTTAAATGTTATTGGAAGTAAATAAAAGAACAAACCAAGTCCTGTCAGTCACTGGCAGCGAAGATGCACATTGAGAATGCACTCTGCGATTCTAGGGAGCTATACATATGCACAACAGGCCCCAAAGCTCAAGTGGAACATTTCAGCGATTTGTTCTGATCACTGATGTACAAGTGCACATCAGAGAGCCAGGCACAGCACAGGAAGGCAAGGATTAAAACAACCTGCCTGTCGATATAAACAGTAAAAATACAGTATACTCAATGCTGTTGGGGAAGTGAAAACGTTCTCAATACAAGCATGCTGAAGTTTAATGTATTCCTATATGGGGAAGGGCCCTGGACTTCAAATCTGTCAGCGTACACAGGATGTCGATATAAACAGGTTTGAGATAAGTGGGTAGTACTGTAGTCAACATTTACAAAGCAGATTGTACACATAAAAGTGACAATTTAAATCAGGATATGCACATAATTTTTTTTTCTGTCGTATCTAAGATATACTCTAACTCATAAATTCTTGAGCCATCAATTGCAGCCCTCCAGACTGTAATCATTTAGGAATGAAGATAGCTAGCAAACTCTAGTTACCACTTGCTGTTAAAGTTTTCCTTCCCCATTTCCCCAGCGTTCAACCCTGCTGATGAATGTTCAGCACTTTAATATTTTCGCATAACATCAAACGTAAAATGTATTTGGAGTTGGAGGAAAAAATATAGCAGGGCATATCTGTGCCCCAAGAAAACCCTTTCAAATTACATGCAATCATTTATCAGATTAGCGGACTGTGAAATTGTCACCAAGTCAGTGGAACGAATGCCATTTAATTATCTGTGAAGTTACAAATCAAATTCCAGCTACACAAAAAGGAAGGAAATGCCAAATAATCCATTTTAGTTAATACTGGAGGTTATCAGAAATTATTCACTTTGTCCCTGAATTATACAGAGTACCTTGGGGAAGGGATTCTAACATTTTACATGCAGTCTCCGAGTACTATAGCAGAATTTGTGCATCCAAATAAAAACAAAGTTTAGTCAAAATTAAGCTGTAAAACAGATATTTGAAAATACAAATAATCATTGTCATTTGATACTTATTATTGTGTTTGTTAGTTGAGTTAGCAGATCTCAGTTAGGCAACATAAGGGGTTCTTCAAATTGACCCCAGCCCCCTCAATTAAGGGGAAAGGCAATGTCCCAATTCTTAATCACTACTTAGGCAAAGAGAGCAACATCAAATTTGCTGTTGAAAGCTTGGCAACAGGCACTGTCAAGGCTCAACATCACTTCCTGCTTTGCTGTATATTGGAAGGCAGTTAATTACTCAAAAGTCAGATATTGTTAGCTTCCTGCACTAAAAAAACAGCTGACTTCTGTTTTTTGGGGTCACCAACATCACTTCCTGCTTTGCGCATGCACAAAACAGGAAATAACGTTGGATGAAACCCAATGGCCTTTTTTTCTTTTAATGCAGTAACTACATGATTAGTTACTATACCCGCCAGCACACGGGAAGTGAATCAGCCAGCTGAGTCCATGCCAGCAAGTTTCAAACACCGTGTTATAATGAAGCTCCACTGTATTCAAAAAAATGAGTGATCAAGAGAGGCAGAGAAGAGAACAAGCAAACAGTAGAATATAAAAATTGGTGGGCGAAAGAAAAAATACATATTTTGAAAGCTAAAGTATTTAGTGCTCAGAGGATTGAAATTCTAGCTAATTAAGATACAGTTAGACATATGAGAAACCAGAAAGAAACAAAAATAATTACTGTTGTGAATGCCAGACACCAAACACTATGATTCAGCCTGTTATGCTTTGAGGTTTCTCCTACATTCTATAAAACATACTCCAGAACACACAGTGCAGTAGCATAGGATAAGCAACAAAATCAAACCAATAATGCCAATTTATGTCAGATTTTGCATATTCTGGTAAATAAATATGGCTGTCAATTTATTAAACCATAATGATTTATAGAAGAAAAATATTAATCAGATTAAAAATCACCAATAAGTTATTACAAAGTACCATTGTGTCACTTTAAAAAAGCTTTTTTTGGAACAATTCTGACCGTATTCTTTAATTCCTCTTTCACTTAACAATTAAGAAACAATGCTAATGACAGATATACAAGTGCATAGAGTTAACCAACTATATTAAAAGTGTTGAATACCTGGTCAGCACTGGTGATATCATTCATCACAGCATCTGGGGCCCTGCTGGGTGGATTCATGGTAACCTGAACAAAGGATTAAAAAAGTTTAAAAGTTCTGAGAAGATACAAAAATATACAAAAAGATATAAAAATATACACACAGAATATACTGAAGAGTAAAACTTGAATACGTAATCATTCCTCAGATGAGGAGCATTCAATAGCACAGAAGTGATCTAAATTCTATATTCAATAGAATACCACTGGAATAAAATATAATGATAGGCTGCAATGGTTTACTGGTTGAAGGAACTAACCAGTACAGCACTATGCCATACTGACCAGATAAGTTTCAAATTGAATCCTAATTTATACTGAGTTAGCCTTCCAGATATTGCTTCAAAAAAACATGTCACAAGTTGAAAAAGCTCACAAAGGGTAATATTGTGTCCATCATTTAGGATCTCATCTCCATGCTTTGTCACCATATAGCTCAGTTTACTTTTTCTCCAAAACCATCTGTATGTATCTCAGAAAACCATTTGCAATACCGTTGGTAACTCATTCCATAGGATTACTTATGTCTATTGCCTGTATGTGGGAAATAGTTTGGTCTGAACTTTTTATTTAAACTTATCGTACTAAATTTCATCAATCATCTACATTTATTTTTACGTATGCATCAAATTTCAAATTGCTTTCAATAAGGAAAGCAGCACTGCTGAGAACAATACAGCAAAGCAGTGCTTCCGAGAACAATGCAGCGAAGCAGCACTACCACGAATAAAGCAGCAGTGATGAGAATGAAACAGTGCTGGTGAGAATTTTGAAGACTGAAAACTTGGATGAAATAATCTGGTGAAACAATTAAATATTTAGACAGCCAATGCTATTTACAGTACTAACCCCATTAGTTAAATACCACCTAAAGAAACAAAGATTTCAGTGCTGCGCATGAGAATCTTTTTGATGGGGAACGATACGCATCTGGGTGTGACGGTTCTTTTTTCAAGCTCCACATTAGGACTTCAGCTTACAGTCAGAACATTGCATTATTTAATAATAATAATCCTTGCATTTGATATAGCGCTTTTCACGTCTTCTCGACGTCTCAAAGCGCTTCACAGAATAGACTGTAAAGTGAATTGACTGTATATTTGTGGGCGAAACGCGGCAGCCAATTGCGCACAGCAGTGTCCCACAAACAGTCGTGGATTGAAAATGACCAATTTTTTTAAATTTATTTTTAGTTTTGTTTTTGGAGGGATTATTATTAGGTGTGTGGAGTAAGGAAACTTGCCCAAGGTTTCGCCCTGCCTGGAATTGAATCCAGGTGTCTCGCTTGCAAGGCAAGTGCTCCAACCACTGATCTACAGTGAAGGATTATTAGTATTTTGAAAAACCCTGACATCTATATGGCCCTAATTTGTTTCACTGTAATTATGAAAGCAGCTGATAGCAGAGAACTAAACAAGATGCTTACTTGTCCTTGGAAGCAAAAGACAAGATGCTAGAGGCAAGAAAAACCCATGGGCTGAAAGTGAAGATCATCCATAGCCATTTCATTTTGCAATTATTTAAAAATACTTTGCCATCTAATAATATTAAATATACAGATCCCAAACAAAACTGTTTCAAAGTAATTGCACTTAATTGGTAGTAAAAAAAAATGTAATGTGCTAGATTTCATCCTAATTTATGGAATTGAGTAATAGTACATATAACATAATTTGAAAATTTCACTGGATAATGCTCTTATTTTCTTCACAACACTTTTTGTGTTCTTGCAAAACAGAATCGCCATTTTTGGAAACATTTTTGAAAATTAAAATTTCATCAGCACCTTGCCCTGAAGGAAAATATTTGCAGTCTCTCACAATTCAAATAATATTCTTACTTTGAAGTGATCAAATAGAGATCAGGAAATATGATAGAATGCCTCAGGCACCTGAATGCTGACATTTACCTTTGCTTTGTCAGATGTTCTTTTTCCACCAAAGCCTCCAGCTCCCACAACAAATAGAGTGAACTGGTTATAGCAAATTAAATCTCCGCCATTATATGTATAAACTGAAAAACAGATATGAAGTGCTACGATTAACAGTAGGTTTATTCAGTGCAAGTAAAGACCATAAAGACCAACTCCAAAGATCCTTGATGCCATTTGTTATATTATAAGATTACCTGTGGGGAAAATCTGTTTCTGCAGGCAACTCATGTTTAATTGTCAAGTTTGGTTTGGATACCCTTAAGCATGGTGATGGGTTTCCGTATGTGTCACCCGGCTGACCCCCAAAAAACAATAGCAGGTTTACCTAGTGCTGAATTTCAGAAAACCCAACTCGGATTCAGATCTCCAGTTGTCTGCACTTTTCTTTATGAAGATAATAATAATACTGACATTTGATACAGCTTCTTATAAATCTTCGAGATGTCTCAAAGCACTTCACAGAATATACTGTAAAGTGAATTGACTATATCTTGTTGGCAAAACATGTCAACCAGATTCCATAATGATAAATTGCTTGACTGGATTGTTGGACCTGGTAGCATACCATGCATGTGCGACCGTCTTGACACTGCAGTGTCATGTTGTCAGACTTTCGTATATGCACAAAATACTGTGAGAATTATTTTCTGACTCAGAAACTCATTCTCTCAATCTCCATTAACCTCACCCAGCACACTACTTTACCCTAACAGGTAGACTGCTCCTAGCTGGACCATTAGCAGGAAAGCTTGCCAAATAGTGCTTTCAATGGGCTATGCAATGATTGCTAGTTACACTCCAGCAGTGCTCCAATGCCCACTGTGGGGTTCCAACCCTTTCTCTCACCAGTCTGCGTCTAATACTCTCCAGAATTAGGTAGCAGGATGTGACCCTCAAGAAGAGAGTGCACATTCCATTCCAATGCATGGGAATTTCCACATATAAATGGGACGCACAGAACTCAGTTTGGTTTGTTTACTCTTATGCAGGGTTATGGGTTTCAGCACATGTCAAACACCCGACTGACCAAAAATAATCGGTTTGATATTATTACAATTTTGATTCAAAATTTATACTAAAATGTACCTAACTAAGTACAGTGTATGCAAGATCTCCCCTTTATGTAGGTAGCATTATGAACCATGTAACCCACCATTGGATTGAAAGGACACATGTAAATGTTAATGATCAAAAAATAAAAAAGGGTAATTACAAGAAAGATTAAGCAACAAATATTTTCTATAAACAACTAACATAGAAGAATTAAATCTATAATGAATAGATTTACTTATGATACAACTCACCATCCACAATTATGACAGCTCCAGATCCCTTATCAAGAACATCAGCAATGGTAGCCTCTGACTTTAGTTGTCCTAGGATGAAAATAGTCCAGTTTATTTATGATTATTTTTGCATTTGATGAGGGAACTTAATACGTCAAACATCTAAAAGTATTTCAGGAATTTCTGTAAAGTCCAGCTGGTCCACACATTGAGTAATATTTTCAGATATATTTGTTTTAATGTTAAAAATTCTTGCATATATATGTAATATAACAAACTCAATGAGCTACACTTTTTTAAAAAAAATGCATTTTGATTTACAATTAGTAACTCAGGTCATTTTAAAAAATGTTTGTCCTATAGAAATAAAACAGATTTTTTATGAATATCAGATTAAATTTCTGTACCCAAAGTTTGGAGACTGGAGAACTGGTAGTCATGGTAGAAACATTGGTTTTAAGCAAAGTATTAGTGGTTTGCTATCTTAAATCCATACTACAATAGAAAGTTGTGGATAGACAGATAAATTCTTGCCCAAATAAATTATTGACCAATTAAATTCAGTTTGCATCCCCATAGCTTTAAAAATAACCCTAAGGAATATATTTTCCTCAGAGACAAAGACAGTGGAATGCACAGAAGAGACTCAATAAGTCTATTTGTTGGCCTTTCTGTCAAAAAAGATATTCTGACTATTGAAATAAAAATAATGGACTAGCAGTTGATTGACGTGAGCATCTTTGAGGGGCACCTCCTCCGGAAGGCTAGATCAATTTTGTGCCCTTTCCAGAAAATTAGAACTGTATTAAATATGAAATGAAAGTAAGTCTCTACGTGGTTTAAAATGAAGATCCCATGATCATTCTAAGATTCTTTAAAAGAAAACAGGACCATTACATACATTGAAAAATCCTGAAGATAAGAGCACAAATAGCTTATTTCTGTGCCACGTAGAAGAAGACAAGCAATACAAGAACAAAATTTGATCGTAGTTCAAAAGCCGAACCCTACTCCATTTTGTTTGTTTTAAAAAATACATATTTTAATATCCAATACTTTGTCAAATGTCAATTTTAAAAAATTGTAACACAGAATCTGAGTCTTTGTAATCCAAGGTCTGGATTCAGTTTGCAATCAAACAGCTGAATCCAAATACAATTTTGTACAANTTTTTTTAACAGAACAAAATTACTGTTGCTAGTGAACAATGCAAGCTAAGTACATCAGTGCCTTCATTAGAATGTAAAATTCAACTTGATTTACACTACATATCTTGAGAGAATTAATTTTTTAAAATCGTTTTTGACCAATGATGAATTTGAAAAAACAGAGACTATTTAAATATTTATACAAATCTCATCAGAAATTTATAAACAAGTTATTTGGATTAGTAATAACTGCTGCTTGCACTGAATACTTAATGCAAACACAAATGCAAAGTTTGATTTCGTATTGCTTTGTATTTTCAATAAAGGTATATCACCATGGTTGGCGTAATGATGCTGAACAATCAAAAGCTGTTCTTATACTGCATAGGATGGAATAACCCTGGTTTAATATTCCCTGAGCTCTTTGGACAAACTGTAGAGAAGGGAACAAGTAGATGTATGTTTTTGTGGCATATCACCAAAAATTGGAGAAGGCAGGGAAGGGGAAAGAGTCATCCTTTTGCAGCCTGCTGTGTCTCCTAACAGACATATATAGGAAGCATTACAGTAACAGCAAGAAGCAGATAATGCATCCAACCTCGAGAAACAAACATGTCAATGCCAGAGTTACAAGTTAGAACATGAAATATTATAAACATTTACTTATCCTATCATTCGATTGTGTGGTCATTGTATTGTTAAGAAAAAACACATTTATAAGTTTTCATTTTAAGCATAAAAACTACAGTGGATTTTCTATATAAAAATGTTTTAAAAATCCTTCCTAGAAACTCAGTTGGTAGCATTCTCACCTCTGGATCAGTAACTTATAGGTTCCTGACCCAAACTGGGACTTTGAACTAATAAGCTAAGTTGACACTTAGTACATTGTTGGTTGGAGGTGCTATACTTTGTTTGAGACTGTTAAGCCATCGTAAGTGCTTCGATACACTACTCCACATGAAAGGCATTTATAAATACACAAGTGGTTGTTGAGAAGTTAAACCAAGGTCCTGTCTGCCAGGTCAGATGGACGTTAACGATCCCAGGCACTATTGAAAAAGAGAAGCAAGTTTCTCCAGGTGTCCTGACCAACAATTCCCTTGATAAACTGGCCATTCATTTCATGGCTTTGTGTTTTAACTGGCTGTTGTGTTCACATACAGATGCACATTAGCTGCACAGCACTGAAATGTTATGAGTACTTTAGAGTCATTCTCCATGCTACAGCAAATATAAGGATTATTTAATGAGGTATTGTTAATATTATAACAACATTTTTCCTATGAGAGAATACCATTTTAAAAAATTACAAAATCCATTGTAATTTTTACAGCTGAAATTCAGCCTAAAAATGTAGAAAACATTAGAATACGTATATTAGAATACACAGCACAGAAACAGGCCATTTGGCCCAATCGGTCTATGCCGGTGTTTATGCTCCACATGAGCCTCCTCCTGTCCTTCCTCAACTAAGCCTTCAAGCATAACCTTCTATTCCTTTCTCCCTTATGTACCTATTTAGCTTTCCCTAAAATACATCTATGCTATTTGCCTCAACAACTCCTTATGGTAGCATGTTCCACATGTTAATAATTTTTCTATTACCATCTAGAGCATCTCAGTCTTGTCAGTAATATTCAATACTTGTAACCATATGTGGATGAGAAAAATCGTCTCCATATGGTGTCTTCAGGCTCAATTAGTGAAGCTTTATTCCAACTATTTTCATACTCTGCACTCACTTCTGGGAAACGGTCGAGGAAATATTGAATTCTTACCTATAACTCTGAAACTAAAGTTTTGAGAAGTGCTTTAGCATATCTTAAACCAACAGTGCTTGAATTAGAACTCAGAAGAGCTGACATAAAAATATATTACCTGACGTTGGTAGTGGCTTGTATAGCTCTAAATATTGTTCACCATGTAACACCTAGAATAAATGCAGAAAACCATCACACACTTTGGCATTCCTTGGAAAGAGTCAAGCAGACAACAACCTATTCTAAAAATTTGTAACAAATATCTTGAGGTTCACATGCAAGCCACATTTTGAAATATAGTAAATCTTTTAAAATAAACCAACCAAAAAATACCTAAACATATTATTTAGATATAAAGAAATACACACCATTATAATCCTTCAGGTGAAGCAGCAAAGTTTCAGTATTTCTACATTTTTTTAAATTAATTATTTTTCAGTAAAGCAATTCCAACTCCAATTCCAATTATTTGACTTACATAAATCCTCTGAGCCAAGTTTTATTGATCCACACTAAACATGGGAGAGGGGCTGAAGGTGGAAAACATATTCCTATAAAGACTTCATTCACTCTCTTGTATATGCAGAGCATTACATAACAGTGCACTTAAGAGGACCTGGAACAAATCTTCCTGAATTATCCATTCTCTACTATTTCAAATGGTGCTACTTCTTGATGACACCATCTGGTGAAATGGAACAGAATTATGCTTCTGCTCAGTTGTACCATTTTGCTCTTCTTCCCAGCTAGATAGGAAACTCACATCTTAGTCTCAGATACTCTTGATTCAATCTCTGATTCAGTCCCAAATGGAATAGACCATCACCGAATCTGAAGTTGGATATACACCTAACTAGCCTGCTCTAAATGTAATCTCCTATACTTCTACACCTCTAATCTCAGAAATGTATGTTCTGGTATCCTATGCCCAGCCTTGAAACCTAATATCCACAAATTTAATTTAATCACTATTAGAATGACCTTCTTGAATGCTTATTCTTAAATCTTGCCAGGTTCAGAGTAATCCACCTGTTTGAACATTGGTGCTTCATGCTGTACTGTTCCCAACTCCTCATAAAACACGATTACCAGCTATCTGCAAGGCTTGAATAAATACATAAATCTATCATATAGGTGGACTACCAATAATAATAGACATTTGAGATACCTGAAGTCACTTTAGTGGGGAGCAGGACTTTTCACTTGGAACAGCAGCGACACCTCTAGTAATGTGATTAAGGATCCAACAAACCATACCTACAAGCTTCATTTAACTCCCCATCTGGTATTGGTCCAAAGGGCAACGCTGAACATTCAAATAGGTATGCCAGCAATGCTAAACCACAACCCAGATAGATCATTTTAAAGCTTTTAAGGAAATGAAAGGGTGAAAGGTTTCTAATAATGCTACAAGATGTAACTTCCAGGTAATCAACATGTTTATCCAGTAAGCAGCTGAGTCACACCGCAGGCCGCCAAAACCCTCATACATGCCTTCATTACATCGAGGCTCGACGATGCAAACTCAGTTTGTCAGCCTCCCCAACTCTTCCTTCCACAGGCTGCAGATCATCCAAAACTCTGCAGCCTGTGTCCTCTCCCACACTAGGCTCCGTGGCTCTATCACCCCCATCCTTGCCCAATTCCACTGGCTTCCCATCACATTGAGGATACAGTTCAAGATCCTGGTCCTCACCTTCAAAGACATCCACGGTCTTGCTCCCCACTACCTCTCCGACTTCCTAACCTCCTACCACCCTGTTCACTCCCTCCACTCAGCGATCTCCAGCCTGCTTCTCGTCTCGTCTCGCTCGCCCCACTTCTGCCACTCTGTCCCTACCCTCTGGAACTCCATCCCGCAGTCCCTCCATCTCAGCCCCTCTCTCGCCACCTTCAAGACCCATCTCAAGACCCTCCTCTTCGACCATGCTTTCGATCTCCCTGCTTCCCCCCCCGCCCTCCCCCTTCCTCCACCCTCAGCTCGGGTCCATAACTCTGCCTATCCAGCGCCTTGGGACGTCCTCCCGATGTGAAAGGCGCGATACAAATGTACTTTTGGTGTTGTTATTGAGTTACATAGACTAGAAAAGTCTGTGTTTTCATCCCAGTACAAAATGGGATAGGGCGATAATAATAATGTTGCTCCATAACCAGAATCTGGTATTGTCATTTATCTTGAATAGTTCCTCAGGAGTACAAGATGTTGACTGGGGGCATTACATCAGGCAGAGTTCAAGTGTTTGCCTTGGCTCTCCACATTGACATATGGTTTTTTTTTAAGCTTCCACTTGGTCACATCTTGGTCGATTTAGGGTACACCAATGTTTTCTTTGAGGTCAATGCCTGGAGGAAGTTGTTCTGAAGGAACCTGGTTCTCCAAGATCATCGGAATTTCGTGCCATTTTGTACCTCTTAGCCTTCCACAGAGGTATTTTGGGGTAAGGGATTTTCAAAGGCAAAGCTCTTTCTGGACTTCAGTTTCTTGGATGATGGAATGTGTCATACAGTAGGTGCCTATAATCATGTACCTGTTTTTGCCTCTCCTTTCTACTCCTTGTCCTCCGCGAGGCAATATGGCAAGTTTAGCATTTGGTTTCAAAGTCCCTGTGATGATTCTACAGGATTGATTGAGTTTAGTATCGATTTTGTGTATATGGCTCAAGTATGACCGTATTGGAGCATAGTATTCTGTAGTTAAGTAACACAGGGCGAACCTGGTTGCTCGGTGTTTTGGAGTCAGCACCCCTTTTGTTTTGGCCAGTTTCTGGAATACCTGGTTCCTGTTGTTCACTTTCTTTTTCAGTTTTCTGATGTGCTAATGACAGCATTTGCACATCGATTTAATATGACCCAAGGTACACCAGATATTCATAGCTTGAGGGAGATCTTGTCAGCGATCCCACAATCGCAGCATAGACCAGTGCAAGTAACAATAGAAACCACAGTTCAACCCAGGAAAACAAAGTACCTGCCAAGATTCAACTTTAGAAAGGCTTACTGGGAAGTCTTTATATCTGAATTTGATAAATCTATCTCCAATATTACTCCGTCACAATGAACATGACAGAGAATTAGTCTGCCTGTATGGAGAATTGCCCAAAAGCACACCTCAAGGGATGTCAGACACTATATGTACCTTGATTTTCAGAAGAAACAAGCCTATAATGTAAGAGATATTCATAACTGTATGACTCTGATCCCTTCAGTGAAGAAACCATTAAGCTTGGAGAAATGCTTACGAGAGAGATTGGAAAGGAGTGGCGTGACTGCTGGAAGGAGCTTATTGAAACAACAAACCTTTACCATAATAGCAAAAAGGCATGGGCCACCACCCACAGGCCTGATAGACAACAACCAAAGTGCACCGCTACAGTCTCTCCCAATCTAGCTGCACACTAACTAACGCATCCTAAATCACAGTTGATGATGCTACACAAAGCTAACTTCTGTTCTGGAGTCCTGTATCTCAGTGGTTATAGCACTCGCCTCACAAGCGAGAGACCTGGGTTTGATTCCCAGCAGGGGCTGAAACCTTGGGCAAGTTTCCTTACTCCAGACGCCTGATAATAATCCCTCAAGAAAAAAAATAATAATTTGGTCACTTCAATCCACGACTGTTTGTGGGACACTGCTGTGCATAATTGGCTGCCGCGTTTCGCCCACAAAATGCAATCAATTCACTTTACAGTATATTCTGTGAACCTTTGAGACATCTAGAAGAAGTGAAAAGCGCTATATCAAAGTCAAGGATTATTATTATTAGTTTGTCCTTATACACAAATGAATTTGGAACATGTTGTTGAAAACATCAAAATGATACTTGCCCTTGTAAAATCTAGGTTCAGTCCAGGAACAGATGCAAACCCACCACCGAAGATAACAAATTGGGCAGGGATTACCCCAAATGTCGGCAAGCAGGAGAACTTCTCATGTCCTTCAAAAAGAAACATCAAATGTTTTGGGTCCTTGGTTGTCATGCCAACACCAAGAGCGTACAGAATAGGTTGTAGGTTAGTGTAACTGTACATCCCTGGAGCGGTAATTTTTTGACCTATTGCTTGAGCCTGTAATTAGAAAAACAAAAACAAAATGAAAAGTCACAATTAAAAATACATCATTTGAAAAAAATCAGGAGAAAAAAGTGTTTTTTAAAAAATAATGACCTGAAGACTCACAAGTTGGCCATTTAAGAGTGCAAAAGGCTCAAGTCATTGACTTCTGCGGCAGTTGGTCTCCACTGACTGAAGGCGCTCAGTGCATGGGAAGCAACCGGGCCAGCTGTGCACTTTGCATAATGAACAAGGTCTACAGTTCAAACGTGTTAGAAGAGAATTTGAGCGACAGAAGAACTTGTCATAATGGGACTGCACAGTTCAGGGAGAATTCACCAGACTTCAGGTCATGGATATTCATTCATGAGCTTAATTACAAATCATAAGTTTAAAACTGATTGAGCATCATATTTGTGGTACACATTTTGTGCAAGACCACAAAGAATACTATTCCTGGCTTAATAACAGCAGTTAGTTAATGCAGATTCACAGGCATAAGTCACATAAGTTTTGATGATTCTACATTCGTGACCTTAAGACAGTTTGCCAAAATAATTTAAGAAACATATTCAGGTGTAAGTACTTAATGTTTATTTACCTTTCATATACAATAATCATAAATAACCAAGAAAGTTATTATACTAATTACATTCAGTCATTTGATTACCACAATACCTACTGGATCAATCCCTGAAGAGCTGGTTGGTAATATGCCATTGGTAGGGTTTGAGGAGACTTCTTGTTCAGCATCTAATTTGGTCAGCACCTCATACAGAATGTCAATGGAATCTGTCATAATAACAAGCAGAATCAGTCACTGCCTTTCATATTTTTAAAAGGCAATTTAGAATATCCTCACTTTAATAATATGGATATGAACTGACTCCTACATTTTAAAACATAACAATTAATATTTGGTAGTTTTTGAGGAAGCTTAATGACTCTGAATTGCAAGGGCCGAAGGAAGAGAGAATCATTGATTTTTAATGGTATTAAACAAGCTGGTTGAGGGTTCTGCTTCATAGCAGTCAAAACGTTTGTTCAAAGTTCCCAAGTCATCCCAAGGACTGCCTAGGAGGTTTGAACGGAATATGAGCAAGTCAGCCTAGCATGATGCATACCTGTTGTGTTTATACAGTGTGGGTGTGAATCACATCCATCCTGAAATCATCTCCTTAAGGGGTCAGTGCTTCCACAATTGTGGCGATTTGTCACAAATTTGCAGTACAAAACACATTTCAAATGTTTGCACGTAATTAGAACATCAAATAGGATAACTAACTCATCCATGTGTATTTAATCATTTTTGAAGCCACACTGAAAATCGTATTGCTCTGACGCTTAATATTTTTGCCATTCTTGTCAACATTTTGGGTGCATCATGTGTGAGTGAAGCCTTCAATTTGGTTTCTGATATTTTCCATCAAAATAACTGTGCTGTAACATTGTATTTTATGAACTCTGAACAAGAAAAAGTTGAGAAAGATCAGTACTGGCATAACGTATTGCTGTTTGAAAGATGTAATTGTAGCAGTTTAGTTACAGCTATCATTAATAGCTGCAAGGTGTTCAACCAATATCTTGAGCTACTGACCCAGATTGCTGTGGCACTAGATGTGTCATTTTGAGCACCAAAATTTTGAGTTTGTCTCAATTTCCATTGAACAGAAAGGGACAAGGGGTCTTAAAAACCTTGACTATGGTTTGAGTTTTCGAAAAACCCTATTAAGTGCAGATATAATTAACTTAATTGAATACGTAAAACCATCACAGAACGATCAAATGGTTTGCTAAAACTGTTTTGATTCCAGAACCGCTCTGTTCTCATAAGGATAAACTAAATTGTTAGTGATTCAAGTATTGCCCTTATTTTAAATGATTTACACTTGAAGTCGCTATGCTCCTCAATGTAGGACCAATGGATTGTGTTAGCATTTCACTGTGTTAACTGGTGAGACTGAAGTACATGACAACCAATTCCACACTAACAAAATGCAAACTGGGGCTGACACGACAACATATTGCTACTAAATGTTGCTTGTGCCTCAGCAAGATCAAGGTCTGCAGTAAGGGCAAAATTACTTCTGAACTTACTTGAACTGAATTATCTGTCAGGAAGGCAGACACAAATGTTGACCAGAAAGGCAACAACTTGTCTAATTGGTTCCAAATTAAGCCCAGCATTTTGTTGAGCAGTCAGGCTGTTTGAGACCAATGTTAAATTGACATCTACTAAAGGCATTCCCATCAAGTATGGACAGTCCCTTCAACCTGCACATCCCATTTCACTGAAAGTTCAAGGCTATAATGAAGATGCCTGGATTACTTAGATATCAGACTAACCCAAGCCTGCAGTAGGATGCTCCTTTCTACATTACATAAACAAGAAAGAGATGGGAAGGAAGTGAAGCCTGCTGATGATGGGAAGTGATGGGCTCAAGGAGACTAGTGCAGGAGAGGATATAGGCTGTGGAATTCCAATGGAGCTGGAACCAATGGATGGCAAAGTTAGAGAGGGGTTGAGGGTGGATAAGGGAAAAACAGGCCTCTCACGTAAAGTGCACAAACAATTGCATCCTCCCAATATCTAAGACCATTTTGATAAGTTTAAAGGGAAGCCTTTGTAAACAAAACAAATACAAAAACTTCTCACTAATGTACAATTACTTACTCTGCCCAAATCTAAAAAGAGCCAACTTGAAGTTAAGGCCCAGAATTCGGATTCTGAACATTTATATAATTCACCAACTCGCATCTTCTGCAGAATCTTTGACAGAGATTACCTTTGGTACTTTGGGGTTTGGTGGCATTTTCAAAGTTGCAGATACGTTCCCAATTATCGCGCACAGCTTCAGGTGTCATTGGTTGATTCTTTTGTCTTAGAATGGCACCCAAGGTTCGCTCCCAGCGCACTGATTACAAAAAGGTAAAACATGGTTCAGAAGGCTACTGACTTAAACCAGCTATAATGCAAGCTGCTTCAAAACCATACATTTGCACTGAAGCAGCAAAAAATAAGTTATTGTTTGAACTTTAACGTTTTAAATTCCAAAGGTTATTTACCTAGAGATGTGTTTCAGTATTCAAACAATTCTCCGTACCAGTCTGAACAAATATTTACACTTTTTTTTAAAAAAGGCCCTCATGCCAAAGCGAAGTTTGAACTAAACCAAATGCTGTATTGATTGGCAGATTCAAACAAAATAAATATTACCTGGATAGCACCACAATGATTCTATCTGCCTGTATGGTGTCCAATAAAGGCCCAGGAAATCCAACACAGGTAGTAGAGGATGGTTAAATAGGGGGTAAGATGAAAGGATTAAGGCAGGGAGTTGCAGAGGTTTGGGGATCCCAATCCAACTATTTTTTTTAAAAAACTGTTTGTTTCTAAATTAAATCTTGAATTATCCCAAATACTGGACCAATGATCCATAAGTAAGTTTACACGGGAGAGAAGCATTCGTCAAGCCCATACTCCAGGCAAATCAAGATAGGACAATAAAGTGATGTAATTGACTAGAAGACAAGAAGGCCAATATAATGCATTAAATGCATATAACATTTTACAGGTAATGTTCACACAAATGCTCCCTTTCAATTTCTAACTGTAAACTAGAGGTACAACTTCAAGTTAAATTTGCAGTGACATGGACACTGTTCATAAAATCATAAAACCCAGTGATTAATAACATGCCAAACACTAAAGAACAGTAATTTACAATCAAGCTAAAGTTACCCTTTTTCCTCATTCTTTTAAAGTGTTCATCCTGTCAAAGCATTTTATCAGAAAATACATATCAGCATAATCCTGCTATTAAGTATTCTATGCTGACTTAACAAAATTGTCTGAAAATACAGCTGGATTTATCTCATGCTTTACATTTATTCAGGATAAATTAGGATAAATGCCATCTAGCTCATAAAATGTGTGCTAAAAAATGCTTTCGCTGCAGCAATTCTTGACCCACAGCACCACCAAGAGGTAACTAACTCTATGTACAGTGTTTGGTTTGGAGCAGTGGTTCTCAGTGTGCGGCCACCAACACTTACTGGTGGCCACAGTGCAGCGCCGCAACCTTAAGCTGCAGCACTTGAGATGATTGTTGCAGTCTGTGCGAATAAAGGACTAGAAAGGTTGGTACAGTTGTAGTCGGCTTAGCAGTTACAAGCAATCACAAGCTTGTTCTATTGCCTTGTTCGACCAGCTAAAAATGACCAATAGTAGCTGCACACCTCAAGTGGCGGGGGGGCTGCAATGGGACTGCTGTTGCCACATATGGATGGACATAATTGAGAAATACTAGTTTAGAATATCAAACAGAAGGTCTGCTGTCCTAGACGAGGCAGTTGAGAATTGAGCTCAGATATAAAGGTGCTCTGAGAAAAGCTATTTGTTGCTGAGTTCAATTCCAGTTTCTTACCTTTAGCAAAACAGAATTTCAAATGCCATGTGGGACATGGAACTCATATAGTCTGAGTCCAGTCCTGGGGCTATGTTGCATAATTAAAGGTGCCATTCTTCAAATGAGACATAAAACCAAAGTTCAATCTGCCTGTTCTGATGGATATTAAAGATCTAAAAGCCTTATTCAAAAAGAGAAGGGAGTTTCTTGACCAACAATCCCACTTCATGGCTGTTTCTGGGACATCGCTGTGCACAAACTAGCTGTGGCACTTACCAACAAATTAGTCATTACTGCACAATATACTCTCTGAAGCACTTTCAGATATCCTTCTGACATTAAAGGTGCTGTATTAAATGTAAGGATTATTATTGTTGCATGGTGACTCTGCATTAGCACACAAATACACAATAACGGATGGAGAGAAAAAGATTTGAGTCACAATTTCATTCAAACAGCTTGGGGCAGAGAATAAATCAAGCAGGTTGGATGAAAGAGCCTCTCTGCATGACTGTCACACACCTGACTAGCTAAGTTCAAAGCTGCTGGTGCTCTGGGAATTGGTTGTCCACCCACCTTGTAGTCCTTACAAGCACATAACTCCAGTAAAGAGATGGAAAGACGAAAATGAGAATCATAGAATCGTACAGCACAGGCCATTCGGCTCATCATGTCTGCGCCGGCTCTGAAAAGAGCAATCCAACTCAATCCCACTGGCCCACTTTCTCTCCATAGCCCTGCAATCCTGTCCTCCCCAAATACCCATCTGCTTCTCTCTTAAAGGTTGTTATTGAATCGGCTTCCACTACCATTTCAGGAAATGCATTCCAGACCCAAACAACTCGCTGGGTGAAAAAAAAAATCCTAATACCTCCTGTTTCTTTTAACAACTAATTTAAATCGGTGTCCTCGGGTTACTGACCCACATGACGGTGGAAACAGCTTTTCCCGGTTCAACCTATCAAATCCTCTCATGATCTTGAAAATCTCTATTAAATCCCCTCTTAATCTTCTCTGCTCTGAGGAGAATAATTCTAGTTTCGCTAACCTCTCCTCATAACTAAGGTCCTTCATGCCTGGTACCATCCTGGTAAACCTCCTTTGCACCTTCTCCAATGTCCTAACATCTTTCCTAAAGTGCGATGCCCAGAACTGAACGCAGTACTCCAACAGAGGCCTAACCAGCATTGTATAAATATTCAACATAACATCCTGACTTTTGAATTCTATATAATAATAATAATCCTTGCATTTGATATAGCGCTTTTCATGTCGGGAGGACGTCCCAAAGCGCTTCACAGAACACACTGTAAAGTGAATTGACTGTATATTTGTGGGCGAACGCGGCAGCCAATTGCGCACAGCAATGTCCCACAAACAGTCGTAGATTAAAAATGACCAATTTATTATTGTTTTTTGGAGGGATTGTTATTCTATGCCCCTATTTATAAAACCTAGTATCCCGTATGCTTTTTAACAGCTGCCACCTTCAGAGATTTGCTTATGTGGACTCCCAGGTCTCTTTGTTCATTTGCCCCCTTTAAGATTGTACCATCTAGCTTACACTGCCTCTCCTCATTCTTCCTACCAAAATGCAACACTTCGCATTTCTCCACATTAAACCTCATCTGCCACGTTTCTGCCCATTTTACCAATCTGTCTAAGCCCTTTTGGAGTCTGGTGCTATCCTTCTCACCATTAACTTCTTTCCTAGCTTAGTATCATCTGCAAATTTGGAAATTGTGCTCCCTATATCCAGGTCCAGATCATTAATATAGATCAGAAAGAGCAGTGGTTCCAATACCGACCCCTGAGGGACACCACTACACACCTCCCTCCAGTCAGAAAAGCATCTGTTTACTACCACTCTTTGATTTCTGTCTCCGAGCCAGTCCTGGATCCATGTTGCCACAGTCCCTTTAATACCGTGGGCTTCTATTTTGTTTATAAGTCTCTTATGTGGCATGTTGTCAAATGCCTTTTGAAAATCTAGATAAACGATGTCAACTGCACTACCTTCATCCACCCTCTCAGTCACTTCATCAAAAAATTCTATTAGGTTTGTCAGTTAGGAATGTAGGACCTTTGTTGGGAGGGCAACAGATAATTATCAAACTCGCAAAGAAAAAATCTCAGCAAACCTTCGAAAAGCATTTGTTACGGCTATTTGGTATTATCAGTGTTCCAGTATTCCTGGAAATCAACACGGTGTTTAGTTATTCAGAGATTACTGCTAATAAAGGCATTGTTCTGGAATTTGAGTTTCTGTCATTTCGATTCCCATTTAAGCGTTTAACAGTCCAAAACAAGTGAATATGTAAACCAAACAAAAATTGGTAAACAGATGGTTGTCAATGAATTTAAACAAACACAAGCATCATAAGCAGCATGGGAATTGAGTGCTGCATCAGTATGGTTGTCATTCTCAGTAGGAAACATAATTACATCAAAATAATAACCACAATTTTGGGAGAAGAAGGTGGGACGTTAACAGCTGAAACTAAATGATCATTCAGACATGCAGATTGGTATCTAGATACCTCGGAGGAGTTTACTGCTGAACACAGAGGCATCAAAAGTGTTGAATCACAAAAGGATTTGTGACTAGCGAATGCCTTATTCAGTGTCCTACCCTCTGGAACCAGTAATTTTATGGAAGTTGAAACTGAGATGGTCACCTGAGTAGCATTCCAAATGCAACACATCTGGGATTCTCATAACTCATTCATCTTAAGAATGAGAATCGGCATTGCTGCTTTCTTCTCCACTAACTCTATGCCCTGGTGTGTGAGTGGCTCTCTTTTATGTTGTAGATACCAGAACTGCACATCATACTCCAGGTGCACCTGGACCAGATAAACTGAAGAATTTGGTATGAATGCAAGGAATCTGAACTCATTATTTGACATTGGGATTGAAGAAGTACTTCTCAAGTACCAGGAAAAGAAATGTCAACCGTGTTTTTTGCAGATAAACCTCTGTATATCATAGAGTCTCACAAGACCATAGCTCCAAAGTGATTTTCGGTAAGGCATGAATACCCTCAAACTGGCATACTGGGCTTGATTTTATCTGCAAAAAATGTTTTTGGTAGTGAGGTGCTTTTGCTGAAGGGTAAGCTCCAGTGACTTGAATACTTACTTGAGAAACACATTTCACCCCAAACATAGCCTACTATCCTATCCTCTTAGCTTATTACATTTGTAGAGCGCCTTTCACATAGGGAGGACGTCCCAAGGCGCTGGACGGTCAAGGAATTGGACTCAAGCAGAAGACTGAAACACATGTCTAGGTAAATAACCTTTAGAATTTAAAAAGATTATAAATGACAGGTGGAATTTGTAATTAGGATTAAAACAAAACCAGAGACGGGTTGCAGAATCTAGCCTAATGTACTCTGCACTCAAATCTTGAACATCTATCTCCTCCCTTGAAAAAAGAGCTCAATTTCAAAACATGCATTTTTATTTTTAGCTAGTGCAGTTTCACCTTTAGTATCCAAATATATAATAATGGATCCATGGGAGCAATTAAAGTAAGATGATCAATGGGTTTAGATGACAACTCAAGTGTGATTAAAGCCTTGGGGTTTGAATAAAGCTCAAACAAACAGCTTCAAAGCCATTGTCTCACATCGAAGTATAATTTTATTTTTATCTAGGTGAGGAGATTATCAAGCTTTCTGCCAGGCATTTTAATAATCCTGCATTCAGTAAAAAGCTTTGTCATGTCAAACATCTCAAAATGCTTCACAGAGTTTTTTGTAGTCTAATGTCTATGTAATTGTAGGTGAACATTATCCTACCAATGGCTGTCAATGAAAGAGACAATTATAACTGCACCACATATTCTAAGCATGTAATATGTTTTCAAAATGATTAGTTAAGCTTCATTGAGAAATAATCCCCAGCTGATTAATTGAAACTGTGTATGTCTAGTATACTGCCCATGATTGCTTAAGACCACAGATCAGTACCACCATTGAACAGTGAAACATAAAACAAAACAATCATTTTGTGATTTATTTATGCAGCCCCATTGTAGCATGGTAGTTAGCATCCATAAACCCAACCAGCACCATACTGGGGCATATTGTCACTGCTTCCATGTAGAAAGTCAGCTCACTTCATAACATCACCTGGCTTCTTGTGCTAAAAAAAAGGCAACTTCTAGATCATAAGGTCACCACGGATGTCACTTCCTGAGTGCAGCCCATGGACTATGCTCAGAAGATGATGTCGCTTACAACCTGATGACCCAGTAGTTGGTGATGTTTTTTAAGCAGAGAGGTTTGCCTATGTTTTAGGAACATAGGAACACAAAAAAGGCTGTTTTGCTCATTGAGCACGCTCTGACAATTGCTTGGATTAAGGTTGGTCCTCATAACTAAGCTTATTCAAACTAGACATCATTCTGGTGAATCTACACTGCACTGCCTCCAAGATGAGGTTTGAAGTAAGACAAATCGCTTTCTGGATTTTTCAGTAAGTCCACATCCCAATCACACTATGCATAAACCGGCATTGTAATAAAGCACCTTTCTGCTCCAAATACTTATATTGTAATACAGATTTTCTGTAATGGATCTGCGAAAAAACAGCTGCCAAACCAGCTTCAGGCTTATCAGGTCCTACATGTGCCAGAAGCTGGTTATGTATCTCATTTCCAATATCAACAGGTCCACAGGACACTCACAACATTGGTGATCTTGTGTTCCAGCAAGGAGTATTATAATGGGGACACACTACACTGCTTAATGTCCAAAGGTAATGACGAACTGCAAAATATTCATCCATCCCTACTCCAATGGGACCTCTCTCCAAAGACATTGCTGCATAGGAACCATGATGTCCTATGGTTTTATCACAGTCTGCACTTATCCCTATATGCAATACTGTTTTCAAGTAGATACATATCCAGTTATTTTTAGAGGTCTTAATAAAGACCTAACATCAACTGCTATTGTTCTTTCATTCTACTATTTGATTGTACACTAGTCATTGTGGTTTGCATAAATGACAATTAATACACAAAATATTACACGTTTTTCTAGCTGAGTCTCAAACATTGTAAACTTACATTTGCCAATCCAGCCAGCCCCCACCTGTGAGTGGGTAATGCAGAAAAGTAAAATTCAGTCATTTCTACACATAATAATTCATTCCAATATAATTTTTAAGAAAGAAACACCACAGGTATGAAAGTCAACATGAAACATCCAACCTCAAATAAGCTGCCATTCTCTTGGCAACTTTCATGACACAACCAAAGAACCAAGGGAGCCACGTACTCGGGTTTCAGGGAATCCAACAAGTCTGGATAAAGAAAGAGATTCTGTGTTACTGGCACATCAAATCAATTTACACACATAATTACAATTTTTGGGGGGGCATAGATAACTGAAAAGCTGCAAATTTTAACTAAAAAATTGCAACATTTACCTGCATTGGTACAGATATTTTTATTTCTGTAAAGTTCAGTTTACCCTGCATTTTTAAAAACCATGAAAGTCAAACACTTGAGTTAGGAATTAACAACCTCCAAAACTGTTCAACCTTCTTCAGCAATCCAAGACACCTTCTTATTTTCCTTTCTAAATAGATTTTTTTTCTATTCTAAATACTCTTTTAAGATGTTAGCTTTGTTTAATAGTATGGCCAAAAAGAAAAACAGTGAGAGAAACCTAGCATGATACTTGCAGAGCAGTAAACAATCCATTTGGAATATATTTGCTACAAATATACTATCAAGTATAAGGATTATTATCATTAAGCGTTCTTGAAGACAAACAGCTATAATAAAGCTTCAAAATGTTCTGAGCATGCAATACTATTTTCTTGATGTTAAATAGAGAAATGTAGCACCACCCAAAGCTGCATACCTATATCTATACAAACACAATTTTTCATGGTTATTATACAAAACATTTCTTCCACTGCTCTGCCAATCAGTGCTTTTGGTGGAATAAAATATTCACATTATATTCTGAATATAGCTCTTACTAAGAATGAATTAAAGCTCCAGCACTCTGATGCTATGTTACCTACCTTGAGGCATAACAGTCTGGGTCATTCTGGAACCTGCCGTTGGGGCAATTGTGTTGCAGTGGATGTTGTATTTTAGACCCTCAATAGCAAGTGTATTAGAAAGACCCAGTAATCCCAGTTTGGCAGCACTATAGTTTCCTTGCCCAAAATTTCCATATATCCCAGCAGCAGATGCAGTCATAATAATTCTGAAAAAAAACATTATTATTCTATCACTTCAAATCCTCATTACCATTTGATTATAAGTAAGTGAAAGAGTGAAGTAATGCCCATAATTCAGCCAAAATGTAATATTAGAGCAGCCAATAAATCAAGTTAGAGCTCTGTTTACCTGCCAAACTTTTGATTCTTCATGTGGTTCCATGCTGCTCTTGTGATCTTGAATGAGCCTCTCAAATGAACTCTATGAATTAAATCTAAACAATTGAGAGCTCAATGAAAACTCCACAGGGAACTACACATATGCAAGATTATTATCTTTAAATCTAACAGATTTTCATTGTACATCCTGAACTAATAAATTAAAAAAACAATAATTCTAAGACAGTATACAACAACCTTCTTTCTTTAATCAAAATATACCTTTATAATAATCATTTCAGTTCAGAAAGTTTTACAAAAGATTCACTTAATTTGTAAAAGATGAACTACATGAAAGCCTATCAATAACAAATGATCCAGAAAACAATAGAATGGTTACTTAATAAGTTCAATTCTTGTAGATGGGCTGATTTTATATTCAACATGCAGATACAATTAATCATTCACTATCTTTCTGTGAGAAGTTGGGGGGTGCGTGTGGGTTAGCAGAAGGAGGGGTCAAAGGGTGACACACCTGCGCTTGAGCCAGGCAGGTCTGCAAGACACCACAACTGACCAATCCACCTGGCTCACTAACAGGACTTGGAATGGTAATCGTTTAACTGGAAGGTGGGATTCGTCCCACACAGTTCCTAATAGTACAACAACTCAACGTCTTGACAAACAGTGTGCTCCTAGAAAGACAAGCAATAGGAACCTTACTAATGCCTTGTACAAATCTGCACCTGTGTTATTCAGGCATAGCCAGTGACTGGAGCTCTCCACCCCACTCCTGGGAAGAGACTGGGCATAATATGTCAAAAATAAATTCTATTTGATAAATTTGAGATTCTTAAGCACAGAAAAAGATTTACAAATGTCAGACTTTCTGACGATCAAAAAATAACCATTTGAATTTAACAGAAAATTCATCTTTGAACTCTACATAAACTCACCCCAATCCAAGTCACTTGTTCTACCAAAGGAACGATCTCTCAAAATTCTGAAAACATCAAGAAAATTATCTTAAAATAAATGGCACATTGCATTTGGTAGGTTGGCATTGGTGGTGGTAAAATATTGTGGATCTAGCAACATTAAACTACAAAATGAAAGCATTTTTTTTAACTCCCCAACAATTAGCGGCTTAACAGTCAATCAAGACTCAAAAAAATACTGTGCAAAAAATACAAAACAAAAAACCTACTCACCCAGCATTGTTAATAAGAATATCTGAAAGAAAAAAGAACTTGTATATTGAATCTGATTTAATTAGATGCAGGGTTCAGATGGCAAACAAAAGGAGCTTGTGTTCCTTTATTTCAATCTTGGAGTTTAAAAATACATGCTAAAAAAGTTTTGATAGCTTTTATGAAAAAAATCTTCTATAGAAATACAAAATTCATGAAAACTAGCCTCCATTTCTTTCTATAGAGGTTACAATCGTGTTATCCTGTTGTTAAATTGTAAAAAAGAGTAATTTGGAACAATTTTCAATTTTTCTGCCCATTATTCTAAATTATGTATCCAAATAGCAGGGCTATTAGTACAGCAGAAAGCTGATTAGGTATGGGGAAAGGGTAGGTAAAGGGGACTGAAAGGATTACTCTTAAAAAACCAAATGCAGACACGATGAGCCAAATTCTTCTTCGCTATAAATTTCTATGGTTCAATGCAAATTTTATTAAATGTCCCCTATTTAAGACTTTACATTTTAATATTTAAATAGAAACTTTATGAAGGTCTTCAAAAACATCAACCCCCAACAGAAGTTACTTTTCACCAATAAAATCCAAACAGTCAAAACATTAGTTCTGTAATATATTTAAAGTTTGTGGAATAGGGCAATACTTACCTATCTTTCCAAAGGCATCCAAAGTAGACTGAATAATCTTTTCTCCTTCTTCCACGGAATCTAATAGAAGGGGAAAAAATATTTTGATACGTCAAATTTCACAGTGGTTCGTGATTTAAAAAGAACAACTTCACCATGTAAAATCTACCATTCTTATTGCAGGTTAATATAAACATAGTAGAATTTTGTTGCGAGTTCACTTTCAGGTGGGTACCCTATGGATCACTTGCCAACACCTGGCACTGACGTGTGCATTCCCACACCACAGGGGGGGCAAACCAGTCAGTTCCTGCAAGCATTTTTCAGGCTAGACATCCAGACAACTAAAAATACTACGCAGTCTGTGCCAGAGCCTACTGCACTTCTCATATAGTGTAGGTCCCCAACCTACTATGTTATAAATGGTATTACTATTGTAACAGAGTCACACTTAACATGTGTCAAAGGTGAATAGGCAATATGGGTGTTAACAATTGCACAGAGTCCACTGAGTAAAAATAATATAAAATGAAAGTTACCAAATGTTCTCAAAAAACTATTTTTAAGAAACATACAAAATGGGTTTTACAATTAAGGAGATACTTTTTTTAATATCAGAATTACAGAGTGAGTACAACACAATTACATTTGTAAAGCGCCTTTCATGTCGGGAGGACGTCCCAAGGCGCTGAACAGTTGGGGATCAGGATCCGAGCGCGGGGAGGGCAGGGTTGGAATAGGGATATGTCATATATTATTTTTTTTGAGGAAGGGGAGTGAATCAAAAAAAGAGAAAATGATGAATTTGCACAAAATAAATGAAGTACAATACCATAGTTGGCCACAGCTTTGCCTCCTTTTGCTCTTATCTCTTCCACCACTTTATCTGCAGCAGATGATCCTTTGCCTTCTCCTTTAATGTTACCCCCAAGGTCATTTACTGTAACAGGAAATAATGCTATAGTCAAATCTAATGAGATAGAACATATCTAAGATATAGTAGTCTGTATAAAAGCCTTTTTTAAAATTAAACAACAGAACTTTCACACACAAATTCAGCAGCTGGTAAAATCTGACCATGTTGATGATGCATTCACTTCGGGCCATGACTCTGTAAATAGTTTGTACAAAGTTATCCTGTTAAAACACTCTTCCTAAGGCCTGTGAGTGAATGGCTCAGACACTGTGTTCCAAATGAAGAGCAAAAATAACTAATATCCGAGTCATGAAGTTGCCACTGACATTAGTTTCCATGCTTTGTATTCATATGTGCTATGCATAGGGAACGGTACCAACATCGCTTCCTTTGCAAAGTGACGTCAGAGGAACTTCCTACTCCTAGTATGCATATGCCAAGTGCGAAAGTGATGACAACAGTAACCTGACAGCCCAGAAGTCACTTTTCTTTACTTAGTAGACCCACAGGATACCAGCACCATTGAAGCAGTGCTATACCGGGAGATAGGATGAATCAAAGCAGGGGAATAATCTTGTATTTCTAAAAATTCCATTACTTGCATTTAATAATTAATACATTGTTTGCTGATTTTCATTTTATGCTCAGTTATATTTCTAGTACCAATTTATCATTGAAAGTTGCTTTGAAAGTAAAGTAAACCTGAAGACCAAACATATACCAGCAACTCTGTAATGATGCAAAGCTGAGCTCTCTACACCATCCCACAGCATTATGCTACCAATTGTCTTAATGTGTGGAAAATGCTTAAGGTTATTGTTAGAAAATAAAATCAGCCAAATCTGTAAGGAAATAACGCTAATTCCTCTAACCAGATATCAGACTGTTTTATTATTATCCGTTCGTTATTCCCCAATATCCCGATGGGTCAGACCAAAGGCCGGTACAATCAACAGATCTTATAACAGAATAACACCACTATAGATATCTCGAGTTCAAGAGTTCAACACTGTGCCTTTACAGCACACAAGCTTGATTCTTCATGCTTTCAGTCTTCTTGCTTACAGCTTTCAATCTTCCATCTGATATCCTCAGTCTTAGTGTTTCCAGCTCTCAGTCTTCCATCTCCGTACCCTTGTCTCCGCAGCCCGGGATGGCCCCATCTCCCGTATCCTTGTCTCCGCGACCCGGGACGGCTCCATCTCCCGTATCCTTGTCTCCGCGACCCGGGACGGCTCCATCTCCCGTATCCTTGTCTCCGCGACCCGGGACGGCTCCATTTCCCGTATCCTTGTCTCCACGACCCGGGACGGCCCCGTACACAAAGTTATCGGAACTCTTATACCAATATTCATCTAATCATGGTGCGGACAATAGATCACCTGTCGAAATCATGCTGGGGTCACGTGAACATCTCATGGGGTGTACATGCCTCACACACACAAACACACTGTCCTTGAGACAGTCCGTTATCTTGTGTACGTGCAGGGCAGTAGTACACATCTTATCCTTGAGACATTCACATGATCCTGGGAAACTCATGAGTTTCAGTCCAGCTGCCCACAACACACGTAACTTAAAAGTTAACCCATTCGCAACATCTATTGTGATTCTAACATTATACAAAATGTGTAAATTCTTAAAAATGTATGTGTAGTCCAGCAGACCACTGGAAGCTTTAAACTCCATTCAAGTTCAAAACACTTTCCACCCATCTGTTGTAATATACTTCAGCCAATGCAAAGCCAAATACATGTTTAAGGTTACCTCTTCCTCTCAGTGGTCTCACATAACTTCTGTTTAATCTGATGAAGTAAAAATCAATTATATACTGGAATTATACCAGTTTAGCATCAATTTGATATTTTCAAATCAGTTAGCATTTGAAAAATATTTAAATAAGTAGCTGTTGAAAAAAATTAAATAATGTAAATATATTGCTTATATTGTTCATTGACAATATTAGTTTTGTGTTAATATAAACTCAGTAAAACATCCCAAAATAAAATAATCAATTTATGCAACAATTAATTCTATATTATTAACATTCATAACAGCAATAAATAAATAAACTGAAATTCCAAAATGTGACTAGAACAAAGGATTTTAAACTTCAAAACGTACTTACCAACTACAAAGGCTCCTCTTTCCGAAAATGCCAAGGCATATGCTCTTCCCAAACCTTTTTGAAGATAAAAAGTATTTCTGAATATGATAACAAAACATATCACTTTATAATAATAAAGGGCTGAATACAGTTCTGTTTCCTCCTTTACAAAATACATAAATAGTGTCCAGTTCATTTATGCAATGTAACATAAAGTTGATAAGGCAAAACAGTCTAAATAAGATAGTAATTTCATGCAAGATAATACTGATTTTAGAAATGCAGATGCAAAATATTCCTGTATCCCGCTGTGTATTTCAACACCTGGGGGCATCCTTCCAACGTGAAAGGCGCTACATAAATATAATGTGTTTTTTATTTTTTAAATGTACATTATACAATTTAATATTTACAATGTACATTAAGCAATGTAATGCAATATTTGTAATATAGATCAGATAGTAGGGCAGCAATGACTAAAAATGTAAATATATGTGAATATAAATATACACATAAATAAAAGTGTAAAGAGACAGCAGGTTGACTGAGAGGACGGTATTCTTGTAAAAACATAAATAGCCGGCCATGAAACTCAGTAACAAGAGGGACGATAGTGTTATTCAAAAACACTCTAATGTAGTAATACAGTGTTCAAAAGAAGTTTCTAGTTCACGTGCAATGCGTGTAAATCAGATTTCAGTGAGACACTATCAATTTGCAAAATGGGTATTGTATTGTAACCTGCATTGAAATTACAACTAAAAATAGAAAAATCTGGAAAAAATACGCAAAATTAAGAAAACGTTTACCGATAACCAAGTTTCGGTTAACGTCAAATTATTTTCTCAATGTGATTGTGGTGCAAATTGGCAACATTTTTAATGTAAAATACATTCAGTTTTATATTTACAAAAATATAACATTGACATGAAAAAGAAAGGTCATTTGTTGTTGAACAGCGGTGTAAGATACAAAACAAGTATTACGCAACTTCAATCACACGATACAAAACATCAACTCAAAGGTCAATCTCAGAAGGCACCTCCCCCCTACCCACTGGCATAATTTAAGATTGCAACATATAAGAGGTTCAGGCAACACTGATAAAAAAAAGTTCTGTCTCATGGACTATCTTCCAATGTACTTCCTGTTTCTATGAACGCGCTCCCAAATGTGAAGTCTATCTGAAGCTCTTCTTCTTTGATCGCGCCTTTGGTGATCTTGCCCCACCCCCTTGGTATTTCGGATGAGAGGTTAAACCGAGTCTCATCTGCTTGTTCAGGTGGATGTTAAAGATCCCTTGGCATTATTCGAAAAGAGAAGGATGTTTCATACGGTGTCCTGGCCAATATTCCCCCCAAATAAAAATGGTCACTCATTACACAGCTGTTTGTGGGACACTTCTGTGTGCAAACTGGCTGCCGCATTTCACCAACAAAATACACAAGTCACTGCACTTTACACTACTATTCTGTGAAGTGTTTTGAGATGTCTCGACAACATGATAATGAGCTGCATCAAATGCAAGAATTATTATTACCGTTTCCAAATGGAATGTTTTATTATAATAATTCTCCTTGCATTTAATACAGCGCCTTTTCACATCGTTGAGACCTCTCAAAGCGCTTCACAGAATATACTGTAAAGTGTATTCTGTAAAGACTGTGTATTTTGTGAGAGAGAAAAAAATAAGTAAATAGGAACCCGGTTGTTAGTCGATTGGCGGATCATTCTTCCAGGGGTAATAATTCCTTCAAAATAAAAATAATTTAGTCACTCAACCTACGACTGTCTGTGGGACATTGCTGTGCACAATTCACTGCTGCGTTTCGCCCACAAATATACAGTCAATTCACTTTACAGTCTATTCTGTGGAGCGCTTTGAGGCGTCGAGAAGACGTGATGAGGCGCTATAGCAAACGCAGGGATTATCATTGAATAAAAAACAATAAAATGTTACTGCTGTGAAGCAAAAAAAGGTTTTAGATTGAGAGCTGTTCAAATGATGATGATGATTAATAATAAACTTCCCCAAAGCAGTTGTGTTTGCTGGAGTCTTGTCGGCTCCTCTGGTGTTTACACCCCCTCCCCCCCAGGGGTCGCTGTCACCCCCACAGTGCGAGCTGCCCCCCGGCGCGCGGGCCGGGACCGCCTGCCGTCTGTTTCATGGCCACACAAATGGTCGACGACATCCCCCCCCCCCACCCCGCACCGCACCGCACCGCAGGGAGGCCTCGAAAACCGAACAAGGCGCCGAAAGGGACGGAGCCAAATGTCGTACCTCCGCCGGCCCCGGTCACCAGCACCACCTTCCCGTCAAAGCTCACAGGAGCCATGGCTGACATGATCCTCTCCGCTCACGGCGCCTGCGCGGTGCCGGGCATCCTGGGACACCTGACCGCTGAACTGACCCGCGCTGCTTCCTACACTGGTGTCATTGCCGCCGCCATCGCAGGGCCTGACTCCTCCCCCCTCCCCGCAGCAGCCGCGGACTGGCTCACTGCGCGTGTGCAGCCAGCCGGGTGGTGCAATGCACCCTGGGATCTGTAGTCATAAGACCGGTTCAGCTCGCAGCCGCCATCTTGGAGGACCACGTGACCCGGTGATGATGGCCCTGTCTCCCCTCCCCCCCCAACACAGTCACTACAGACACAAGGACCGATGACAAGATGCCAACCTTCATCAAATCAAATCAAATCTACAGTCACTTCACTTTGGGTCCAGCCCGTGAAGCACCCTGAGGCCAGGACACGGACAATTTCACGCCGGACGCCGGACAACAACAACAGCAACAACAACAACAACAACAAATACCATTTATACGACGCCCTTCGCGTAAGACAAAGATAACGTCTCGGAGAGCTTCACGGCGACGGGGTCGGAAGTCGAGCTGGAAAGACAGGGAGGGGGATAGAGGTGACCAAAGCCACAGTTGAAAAGTTGCCAGTGCAGAATACGGTTGCCATCCGGGCCTTTTTTTTAAACTGCTTTGACAATTGCCGATTAAAAAAAATGTCATGTGCGTTTTTTTTCAGCGAATCACCTGTTTTATGTCCTGGTTCGTGCTTTCATTCAAATCTTGGTTCTGCCCATTTGTGCATTTTTTATCCATTGGAGTCCTGCAGCTCTGTGGTGAGAGCACTCGCCTCGCCAGTGAGAGACCTGGGTTTGTTTCCAGGCAGAACGAAACCTTGGGCAAGTTTCCTTACACCACACGCCTAATAATAATCCCTCAAAAAAAACAATAATAAGTTGGTCACTTCAATCCACAAATGTTTGTGGGACACTGCTGTGTGCAATTGGCTCCCACGTTTCGTCCACAGTCAATTCACTTTACAGTATATTCTGTTAAAGCGCTTTGAGACGTCTAGAAAATGTGAAAAACGCTATATTAAATGCAAGGATTATTAGTCAAGCACATTGAAATTTCTTTCATCTAATGAGGAGCCTGAATAGTTATGAATTGTATCTATTTGTACTCATTTGTATCATTCAAGCTGCACATTAAACAATTAGTATCATTCAATACAATCGATACGATTTTTGCATGTAATAATAATCCTTGCATTTGATATAGCACCTTATTGTGTCATTGATATGTCTCAATGGACTTCACAAATATATTCAAACTGCATATTAAGCGGTTAGTATCAACTCAATCTATTCGATACAATAGATACAATTTGTACTTCTTCAATCTTCAATCAATTAAAAGTCCCTTGGTAAACTTTAATGCATAACTTGAAATAGATACAATGGATGGAACAGATACAATTTGTATCTATTCAAGCTGCACATTAAAGCTCCTTTGATTTTAATGTACCACAGTGCTATGTGATGTGCGAAGTCAGTGGCCTTTTATTTACATTTCAGAAGTGGCAACCCTAAAGTAGACACCAGAAAGTTTTACTTCCTGAGGGTAATGAATGACAAGAGGAACAGGTTGCCAGGAATGGAGGTTGCGGCCAGGATACTGGACTCATTTAATAAGCAACTTGATGCTGTGGTAGGAGGATGATATGGTGGATGTTCTGAAGGAAATAAATCTTGTGATATTTTTAATGAGGTGCAATATCAAATGCAAGAATTATTATTATTATGTTATTACAGTTTAAGCTCACCTCTGTAGAGGTATTTTCTAAATGGTTTTCAGTGATTGGTCAGCCAAACTAATAACACTGCCACGTTACAGAATGTTACTTTTCTTAGTATGTTTAAACTTAATAGAATAGCTACTTTTTGCAGGAGGTTGATATTTTGCATTAATAGAAGTCACTAAAACAAAAAGAAATCAGACTGAATGAAATAATTCTACTGAAACTAAATGCTTTATCACTTGCAAAATCTTGGTTTGGAGCCTTCAATAATAAATGAGCAATAAATGATTATAAGGAATTTGCAATTTGTTTATTCATGTTATTATAATAATACTATAATATATAATAATAATATTATATTATTACATTATTATTCATGTTATTCTAAATAAGTAGAACTTATTAAGTATAAATTTGTAAAGGTAAAAATAATACTTATGTTAATGATCATAGGTCTCAGCCTTGCTCGGTTGGGAGCACACTCGCCTCTGAGTCAATAACAACAACTTGCACTTATACAGTGCCCTCCATGTAGGGTAGCGTCTCAGAGCGCTTAGCATATCTATATTTATCGATAGATAACGCTTAAGAGTCAGAATGTTGTGAGTTCAAGCTCCAATGGGTCTTTGAACTCAGTCTTGGCTGACAACTCAATGCAGTGTTGGTGGTGCCGACTTTCAAATTATATCCCATTGTGTAGATATTAAAGATCCTAAGGCACCACTTGAAAAGAAGAAAGAGTTGTTCCCGGTGTCCTGGCCAATAATCCTCCAGATAAAATTGGTCATTCGCTTCATAGCTGTTTACAGGACATTGCTGAACACAATTTGGCTACTGTGGTTGCCTAAAAATACATAGTGATAACTCTTTATGGGAAAATCCTTTGAAGGAATTTGAGCTGTTTCAATAACATGATAAGGCACCATATCAAATGCAAGGACTATTAAAACAATTTTGGTATCTTTCATTGAAAAGGTACAGTAGTTCCTTTTCGTGTTTTACCTCTAGAGGGTGCTATTGTCTTATATTTTCTGTTATTTGTGTTTTTACATTTTTTTCTGATTAATCTGTTTTTACATCTTTTTTCCAGTTTAAATTTTTGCCTTTATAATATTTCATACTATTTAATATTCATTGAATATTGTAGTTTTCTTGGTCTTTAAAGTTGTGTCGAACAGGATGTAAAACATTCAAACAAATCGTATTGTGATTTGCTGCAATCACTATATTTTGTGTTTCTGTCAGAGAATCAAACTATGTAATATGTGTCTCTGGCAACTCAAGAAGCAAATTGTATCTAGAGGATAATGGTAATTTAGTCTTCAATGAAAATAATTCCAACAAATTGAGTATTTTCATAAAAATAAGATTTAAATTGTAAGTCAAAATTACCACTGGTTTTCTTTACTCACCACAGACCCTATAAGTATCACAAGAAATCTAATTATACAATTAATCAGGTTGCTATGATAGAAGTGCAGTTTCTGAAATGCTGATACTGAAATTCATTGCTGCTGAGCAGCTTTTAAAATTAAATCTTCTAGCTGGCATTATTACAGCATTAAACACAAGAGTTAAAATTTGCCAAAATGTATGATTTTAATGATTCGTTGGATAATTCTTTACTTGCAATTGTGGTCGTCAATGGGTGGGTCCCTTAAGCCTTGCACGTCACTGATTTAGAACAGAAGGGAAGGTACTCAAACAAATAAGAACAAGAACATAATAATTTGCTAGGCGAAAGAAGACCAAGGTCCATCTAGTTAGTCTTCCCTTCCACCATCTTGTCAGTTGCTTGTCATGCCATGTCCCAACCTATATAAACTACAAGGTCAGATCATCATACTTGGACAGGAGAGCAGTGGTGTAACAAGGACACAGGGGGTCCCTGGTGCAAGAATAGATTAGGGGCTCCTTCCCATTACTTCCCGGTATTTTTGCTTATAGGTAAGTATTTCCGAAATGGCTCACACATATTTTTCTGGGGGATGAAGGGGGGGTTGTGGGCAAAGTTATGTTTCTCCTCTCACAACATTCTGCCACCGATGGGTTGTGCTCCCATAACTTTGTGGGCTCTGGCATGACTGCACTATTTGTACCATTGCAGTTATTCCACTGCAGGAGAGAACAGCAACTTCCATTTATATAATGACCCTTACATAGAATATCATCTCAGGGGTGGGAGGAGAATGTGAGGTGCCAGGGAGTGAAGGGATTTGTAGGTGAACAATTTATTAATAAGCTACAAATGACTGTGTGTGGGAGGCTATCAGAATTGTGTCAAATGACTGGTGGGGCAGGGTGTGGATGAAACAAAGCCACGTAATCTATAGTCAGCACAGGTTTGAGTCACTATTAACTTAAAAGGTTTCGCAACAGGATCCTTCCAGGTATATCCACTGTCCCAGTCATTAATCAGTATGGTTTAGCATAGTCACATCAGAACCATTTTAAGGCTCATTGCAAATTGTACAGTATAGAAACATTGCAGAAAGCACACAATTGAATGTATTCATATTGACAGAAAATGAAGTACAACCCAAGAAAGGTTTTTGTTTCTGAATGTACCATCAAAGAATAATTATGCCATCAGCAGTCAATATACTTTAGTTTTGAATTAACAGTCAATCCCTGTATGATTAAAAGGCTCACACTATTTGAGAACTGAGACACTGAGAACTGAGTCTGAGACAGCTCTCAGACAATCTCAGCCACCCTCTAACAGGCCAAAAACATCACATAGACATGAAATGTTGACTCGTTTTCCTCTCTCCATGGACGCTGCCTGACTTGCTGCGTGCTCCCAGTGACTTCTGTGTTTACATTAGTACAAGGAAGATTATCCCCACATTGTAGTACATTCCTTTAATAAAATAAGTATACAAATTTCAAGTACCACAGATTGACTAAATGTAATATATTCATATAAACCACAACCAAAGGCTACTGCATCCATCGTTTTAATGAGGCAGATACATCGGGATTATCTTCAGCAAAGATTCCCTTGCAATGTGCACAGAAACAGCAAAGCTCAGAATGTTTGGACTCTTCTTACAACTCACCTGTCCACCTTCCGGCTTTTACACAGCATAGATTTGCTGAGAGAACTGCCTGACTTAAATTTCCTTGTGGGTTGGTATTTTGTAAAGATCAGATAAAACAGATCATAACGCCTTCTTTGACCTACCACCTCACATGATCTTGTTGCATCATGCCAGTACACTTACCTTATTAACATTAATGGATGCAGGGTTGGCCCTCCTTAAAACTCCCAAATGAGAAAGGTGAAGAGAAAAACCCATAACAAACACACTCACAGAAAGGACTATCCTACAGGTACGTACAATCCTTCATTGTACTTAGCCATACATTTTAGTTACCCTTAAAAATGCTGAATTCAAAGA